CCATGAGTGACATACCAGCGCCCTCAGCACCACTGTATCCGACCCTGCCACAGGAAGCGAAGAGCACACCACCCGCATACACACCCACTCCTCCAACTAACCCTTATAACCCATTCCTAAGTCCTGCAGTGGTACAAGCGCCTGTGTTCGTGGTGCAAGGAGGACACCTAGAGGGGAACATGGCACTAAGCGTAGGGCAAGGAGTACTTCACTGTGTGGAAGTCCGAGCCAACAGCGAGCCACAAGGACGAGAGGAGCCACACCCGGCCGGCGGAACCCAACCCAGACCCAGTCCCACAAGAGGGGGTTCCAACCCAGAGTCCCTGGTAATGATGACTCAAAACCAACCGTCAGATCTATACAGGAAAGGGGGAGCATCTGGCCTAAGACAAGCAGCTGCACCCAATCAGCCTAAACCCAGACTCTCAGAATGGTTTGTCGAAAGAGAAAGGGGAAGTACCCAATCCATGACAGAAGGGGGTGCAGGGGACAATGAGCTTTGGGGGTCGATAGGGTCTGGCTCATTAAGAAGCTCACGGGGGGTCTCAATCGGGGACCCACCAAGTGAGGATGATGAAGGAGAACAAAGGAAGGAAGAAAAAACCTATGAGGCTGAGTGGGATGCGTGTCAGGGACAGGCGTCACATAACACCACCATAATAGAAGAAGCAGAGAAGGGGAAGACCTGGGCCTTGAAAGGGGTGATGGTGGGGGAAGTTGTTGACTTGCATGAACCCATCAGAAAATCTGCCAGACTTAGGGAAAGGGGATTGAACTCCCAAATGCCACTTAGACCAACAGCAGACCGACAACATGAAGAATACCAACCCTGGAAGATGACTGACCTGACCGCCCTGATGGATCAGATGCCCAGCCTCCATGGTGGAGCGTCTGCTTGGCTGTTGCAACTTCAAACCCTTACATCTGGATTTAGGCTTGCTCTGGCAGACATGAAGGCACTCTTGGCCAGGGCCACAGATCACACCACCATGATGGTACTGACAAGAGAGGCAGGTCTGGAAAAGAGCGGAGGTGTGACGCCACCGGAAGTCTATAGAACTGTGTTGTGGGAAGTTCTGAGGAGGGCATATCCTACCGAACGAAACCATGCAACACTGACCTCTTTTACCATCGGCCCTGGGGAACAGCCAGCTGCCTACCTGGACAGGGCCAAAACCACCTGGAGAACGGTCCATGACGAACCATATGATCACTCCGACACCACGTGCAGCATGTGGAAAGAGATGGTGGTGAGCGGGACCCCAAGTGACGTTCGAACCAAACTAAGGGGAACTGTGGGATTAATGGCACTCCCTAGGGCGCAGTTTAGCTCCCATGTCCATCATCACATCACCCAATACAACAAAGACAAGGGAGGGGCGGAAACACATGTCCAATCCCTGCAGGTGCAGCTGCTCAAACTACAACTGAAAGAGGCACAGAAGGGAGATAAGCCAAAGAAACAGATGGTGGCTGAAGACCAACCTGACATTTCTCAAATAATTGAAAAAACTGTCTCACAAATGATACAAACACAACAGCCGCCTCCAACAACACTCCCAACGATCGCAATGGTGCCTCAGCCATACTATCAAGCACCAACTCCACCATATCAGCCACCGGTGGCACCATACCAGACTCAATGGGGACAGCCAAGGACACAAGGTAATGGGGGGGCCTGTTACAATTGTCATCAATATGGCCACTCTGTCAGATGGTGTCCATTACCACCTAGTCCGCAACAACTACACTGGCTGGCAAACAGGGGTAGAGGATATGCCTTCAGAACAAGAGGAGGCCCAAGACCGATGTACCAGCCACATGCTGCCCTACCAGCATATAACCACCCACAACAAGACCCAAACCAACAGCCTAACCAGCAGCCAGCTCCTACCTTCCAGGGCATGTCAGACGAATATCCTCCCTGGCCCTGAAGCTGCCCACCACCACAGAACGGGAATGGGGGTCAGCATTTTCCACTCCACACTGAACCAACTGTCATGTGTGAAGTGGAGGGAGTTACCCACCAATTTTTGGTAGATACAGGATGTACGTACTCTGCCATAAGATCTCGTCAACCACTCTCTTCGGAATCAATACAGGTGGTGGGGGTATCAGGAACACCCGAAGCACAAAACAAGACCATACCATTGCTCTTCCAATGGGGCCCTTCCAATTTGAAGCATCAATTCCTATATTGTCCCAACTGTCCAATCAACCTATTGGGAAGGGACCTATTGTGCAAACTGAAATGTTCAATCTACCTTACCGAAAAGGGTGTGGAGGTTTCCATTGATCCCATTACCTCCACACCAGTTCATCCAGTTAGGGTGCTGATGCTACCCATCATCCCAACCCCAGTGCTCTCCCTGACCCAAGAAATATATTGGTTGAAGTGCATCGAATCCGGCCAAGGAACCCCTGAGGTTCAATTCAAGTTCAACCAGCTGAGACAACTCATTTACACATTTCACCCATACAAGACTCCTCAAGCTGAAATACACTGTACACTTAATGTGACTGACAATGATGTCAACCCATATACCGATGCTGGTCTCTCGAAATCCCACCGAGATTCCATACTCCATCATCCACGTCCCATCACAGTGTCAGGCATGTTGTCCTTCCTGGGGTTGACAGGGTACAGCCGTACCCACATCCCTGACTACACATCCAGGACTGAACCACTGAGAGAAATAGTGAGAGAAGCAGGACCAAGAAACCTACACTCCTCACTTACCTGGACACCTGAAGCATCAACAGCATTTGCTCTCCTAAAAACCGATCTCTCGGTGGCAGCAGCTCTGACAGCACCCGACTACAAAAACAAATTTCATCTTGATGTTTCTGAAAAGGAGGGGTTCACTTCTTCCATCCTTTTTCAGAAACAAGAGGGGGAGAGAAGAGTACTGATGTATCATTCCTCTAAGTTGGACCATATTGAAGCAGGTCAGACAACATGTTCCAGGTACGTGGCTGCAGTGGCAAAAGCTATTGAAAAAAACCGCCCACCTGGTAATGTGCCACAAATTGGAAATCCATACGCACCATGGGGTTGCAGCATATCTGATGAGCAAGGAATTCACGTTCAGCGCTGAAAGAAAGAACAAAATCCAGAATAAATGCACCCAATCACACATTACTTTTGTCAACACCGACAAAAACATGGCAGACGCACTCAATGCAGAAGAAGGGTTGGCACACTCCTGCGAAGAGAGGGCGGCACAGGAACTGAAACTGCGACCAGACTTGGGAAACGAACCCCTTACCAATCCTGATCTATGGTTGTACACCGATGGATGCTGCTATAGAGGAGAAGAAGGGAACATAGCAGCATATGCAGTGGTACAGCAGCTTCCAGACGGGTCACACGTGACCCTGGAATCAGACATCATCCCACAACCTGCCTCAGCCCAACTAGCCGAGATCATTGGTTTGACTCAAGCCCTGGAAATGGCTGAAGGAAAGACTGTGAACATCTACACTGACTCAGCATATGCTCATGGAGCAGTCCATACAGATGGACCACAATGGGTCAGACGTAACTTCACCACAACAGGAAACCTTCCGATCAAACACAAGGCACAAATGGAGAGACTGATAAAAGCAGTCTCACTACCTGAGCAGGTGGCCATCATGAAGTGCAAAGGACATCAGCAACTCAAGAACAAAGTCAGCGAGGGAAATGACGCAGCTGACAAAGCAGCCAAGAAAGCTGGGGGCTACACTCCAAGACAGATGGTGCTGCAGACTCAACCAGCTAGAACAGAACTCACAGACCAACACATAAAGGAACTACAATTCACAGCGGGCCCGTATGAGCACTCGGTATGGGGACAGATGGGAGCCACCAAAGGACCTGATGAACTTTGGAGATGCCATGACGGCAGGTTGGTGGCCCCAGCTAATCTCTGCCCCGAGCTGATACGTGAGGCTCATGGGCCCACCCATGAAGGGAAACTCAAAACTTTACAGAAGGTTTCCCATATTTGGTGGCACCCACACATTAAGGACATGACAGACTTGTTTTGTGATGAGTGCAGCATTTGTGGCAGCCACAACCCAAAGAAACCTTTCCAAACACCCATGGGTTCATACCCAGTACCTAATGCATGTTTTCAGGACATTAGCATAGATTACACTGACATGGGGGCTGATAATGTAACTAATGGGAAAAGGTACTTATTGGTAATGGTAGATCGATTCTCCAAATGGGTTGAGGCAATACCAACAGCACGTGAGGATGCCAGGTCGGTCATTAAGTGGCTGCAGACTGAACTCATACCAAGGTATGGGGTTCCAAGACAAATCCGATCCGACAACGGGTCCCATTTCAATAACCAACACCTGAGACAGGTGGAGGAGAGGTTCGGCATTGTGCACAAGTTTGGGTCTGTGTACCGGCCGCAATCTCAGGGCCTCGTGGAACGTGCCAATCAAACTTTGAAGGCTAAGATAGCCAAGGTATGTGCAGGTTCAAAGTTGACGTGGGTTGAAGCTCTGCCCCTGGCGTTGATGGCCATGAGAGCCTCTCCAGGAGCAGGCACCCATCTCTCTCCACATGAGATTATGACTGGTAGGGTCATGCCTGGTCCACCAAGGGAGGGAGGTCATATGCCCGCCCTTGATGTACAACAAATTGTAATGTCTGAATATGTGAGAAAACTAACGGAACTCTCTGCAGCTCTCTCCAAACAGATTCACAAGGTCCAAGAGGGGGAGCTGACGGGAGATCCGGCGCCGCTGAAGGTAAAAGTTGGTGACTGGGTGAGGGTTAAGGTCCACAAGAGAAAGTGGCAAGAACCCAGGTGGACTGGACCGTACGAAGTGAAGGAGGTTACTTCACACTCAGTCCAGGTCAAAGGTAAATTGGGCGCACCTTGGCACCACCTTACACATTGCACACCAGCACCAACTCCTTCCAGAACTTTGACTGAGGTCAGGGCTGACTTGAGCGCCCTAAATTCGGCACCAAATACAGAGGCTCCTAGTCTGTGAGAATGTGGAGGAGACTCTCATTAACAGAGACTGGAGGGCTTCGCCCTGGGAGGAGACATAGACCTCCCTGGGAGAGACTGGGTATCTCTGGTCCCTTGTTTGTTATTTTCATTATAGTCACTGGAGTTTCCATGGGAACTTTCACATGGCTAATACAGCAACTAGCACATCCACATACTAATATCACTAGTCCTAATATCACATCTCACGCCACCGTCAGAACAAACACCCATACCTTACGAAAACGACATGTTTTTAATAGCGACCAAAACTGTACTACCAACCAAATTAGAAGTACCACCCTATGTATCTCTATAAATACTACCACCACTGTCACCGTCCCTTGGGGAATGTTGGAAAGTACTGGGCAGAATGAAAACAGGAAGTTATGGCAAGTCCAATATCATTGGTACATGACATTGAGGGGTTTGGATAAATGGTCCTGGAAAAACCTAGTCGCCGAGACAGGTCCTGATTGGTCAAGTTATTCAACAGGACGGAACGTCTTATTATGGCGAAGGGGACTTACATTGGCCAAAGAACAAAATGGCCTGAAGTTAATTATCCCACCAGGCCAGAGGGAGGGCTGCCAATATTTCATATTGGCTCCATATATGGACACTGGTCCATATAGTCGAAATAGGCCTCCATTTTATATATACTATTTTAAATGGAACTTGATTGTTTGTTTTGTATCAACACCCGACCCTTCCACTTCTACAATTAAGGACGATAGAAAAAACATTGTGAAACCCACAGGTAGAGGTAGATGGGGACCAATTACCATGGTTACCACTCCACCTACTTTGGATGATGCAATCTTGACCGCTACAGGTGTCTCCGGCCTTTCTAACAACTGGCTCTTGTTGACTGAGGAAGCGGCAAGGGTGACTCATCAGAGTTGTGTGGTTTGTATGGGGGCACGGCCATTGCTTCGCATTATCCCTGCCGCCATTACGCCAGAATGCTTCCTGTCTGTCATGAAACATGACAACCCTTCCGCCAATTGTACACTATGGGACGTAATTCATCCCTTGGTTACTAAAGTAACTAAGAAACCAATTTTTTCCTATCAGGTGGCTAGAGCTAACTTTACCTGTGTTAATCTCACGAAAGGACTACCATTGTTGGGTATGTTACCTGTTGGATGGTGTCGGTTTATCTATACGCCTAATACTGAGTTTAAACCTGTTTCCAGGGCTGATGTCTGGTGGGTGGTGGTGTGGAGGCGTTCGTCTGTTTGATGGACTGCCTGGAAATGCCACAGGCACCTGTGCACTAGTCTCTCTTTTGCTACCAATTTCTGTGTATCCAACAGGTGTTCAGGAGCTGGTGACCCATGTGTCTGACTTAATTCCTACCAGGACCAGGCGCGCTGTGGGCCCTACTCATGGGGACCCAACCTACATTGATGCAATTGGGGTCCCTAGGGGGGGTACCAGATGAGTATAAATTGATTGACCAAGTAGCCGCAGGTTTTGAATCTTCATTTTGCTGGTGGTGCACGATTAATAAAAATGTTGACAGAATCAATTATGTCCATTTTAATGTTAAAAAATTAGGCAATTGGACACAACAAGGTTTTGAGGCGGTGCATGGCCAGTTGGCTGCGACCTCTCTCATGGCTTTCCAAAATCGTATTGCTGTCGACATGCTCCTGGCTGAAAAAGGAGGAGTATGTGCTATGTTTGGTGAACAATGTTGTACCTTTATTCCCAACAATACAGCCACAGATGGCAGCTTGACTGTCGCCCTGGAAGGGTTACGAACTCTTAATGGCAAAATGAAGAGCCACTCAGGGGTGGATACTTCAATGTGGGACTCTTGGATGGATGCGTTTGGTAAATATAAAACGCTTGTTTCTTCTATACTTGTATCCATCTCTGTTTTTGCTGCAATTCTAGTGCTTTGTGGATGCTGTTGCATTCCATGCATACGGACGCTGACAACCAGGATTATAACCACCGCTATTGATCCACATCCTGCAGATAACGGTCAGATGTTTCCTTTGCTTGCTATTGACGATGCTGACCAAGGATATCTGGATGATGAATAGCATTTAAGCTTTTTGTCACGTCTCTTGTGAGACGTGAAGAGGGGGAATGTAAAACTTTATCTTCTGATAAAGTTTTCCCTATTTTGCCAATGGCAGCATTTAAGCTTTTTGTCACGTCTCTTGTGAGACGTGAAGAGGGGGAATGTAAAACTTTATCTTCTGATAAAGTTTTCCCTATTTTGCCAATTACACTGTTAGCTTGTGTCACGTCTTAAGTTTTCCTTCTTTACTGTTACTTGGTCACGTCTCTGGGGAGACGTGAAGAGAGGGATTTGTCGTAGTAAATATATAATGTTATAGCTTGGTCTGACTAAAATCTTGTGCATGACCCATCTTGTGTTGGGCCTTTGTATTTAATACAATGCACAAAGACTTCTATCTTGTCGGCCTTATCAGCAGGTGGCTATGGACAACACCCACGCCATAGGTCTCTCAGTTCTCCCAACTCACGAGTTCTTGCTCTGAGGACATACACACACACACCCCCACACACACACACACACACACACACATCATCATTGTTAAACATACACACACATACACACACACACACACACACACACACACGCACACACACACACACACACATCATCATTGTTAAGCACACACACACACAAAAACCCCCTTCTCTTAGGCTGAACATCTGAAGACAGAGAACCCGACTCAGAGCCAATGCAATGGAGGTGACCTCGACCAACTCATCAGGACCAATCAGAAGATCAGAACTACTAGAATCAACCTACTTTATTTTATTGTATAAAATGTCAGCACACAATGTTTAGGGGCTCGCTCTCTCAGATATCTCCCTACGAGATTGACGAACGGGTCCGTGCACGCTATTTACAGATATCTTTACCTCTGAATAAACTGCCTTATATTATACAATTATCCACCTTGTCCGAAAGTCTCTACTTGGTCTCCGTTCTCCAGTAAACTTGTGATCATCAACAGTATCAACAATAGGATCGAGAAATTCTTCATGTGAAGAAAGTGGACTTTGTATCATTTATAGCAATAGTGATAAATGGAACTGCACAAGTTGAAAGGAAGTCAAGAAAGATCGACATAATTGTTTTTAAATGGTAGTGTATGGGGATTCATGTTAATTGTCCCTTCCCTATATGGAATGTACTTTTTTTTTTATCCTCGTCCTGTTGGTGGCGACAATACACCTTTTGATTGTAGTTCGCCATAAAACCTATAGAAAAGGAAGAATGAAGCCGGCTTCATCACTATCAATTTCTTTGTATTGTTAATCTACTTAATTGTTGTCTACTTTTATCTTGTTCTCTTTATCTGTCTGCCTATACGGAAATTCAGCTTTTAGCTGTGAATGTGTAGCCTACCAGATGAAATGACCCAATGAAACAATAAACCCTTCATGAAATTGACATATCTTTCTACCTCAGCTGACTATTGCGAGTGTAGTAAGTACGGTCAGTGCTGCCAGACACGACCTCTACGATTAGCTGATGGTAAAGGACGGCTGCGCCATTTTGCGACTGAAAGCCTGAACGTGAGGAAAATACGTAGCTAACTTCTTGAGAATTTATACTTTGCGTGTAGTAACATTTGTTTTGGTGGGAGACATTGCTAAAACAAGAATATTGGTTTAGAGAGCAAGGAGAAGCTAGCAAATGTTGGCTATCTAGCTTAACTAATTTCCAGAGTTTGCAAGTTGGATAGCTAGACAAACGCATTCATTTCGGGTTGTTTCATCCACTGTCATTGGTTTAACGTTAGCTAGCTATAACCACGTTGTCTTCATTTGTGCCCCACAGCCACCCGTACGGAACAATGTACCCCAACGCGTTGACACAGTTGGCGCGGGCGAACCCCTTCAGTGCACCGCTGTTCACACTACAAAAAGTCGAGGAACCATCACAAAGCCTTGTTGCCGAACATGGACCAAGCAAACGCACGCTGGCCGCCGCTGCAGTGGCGGTTAAGCAGAGTGGTGCATGCTAGAAATGCTACCTAGCTGGGTAAGTTAGGCTTTAGCCACCTAGAGAGAATGCTGGGCGAAATTGAGTTTCAAATGTTGCCAACCAATAGCTATGTTTTTACTAACGTTAGTCGAGTGTGAGATGGGTTTATGAACGACCGCCAAATGAACTGTCTTTTATCACTCAGCTTATCAGTGATTTTATATATATATATATATATATATATAACTAAATTCATTGGTGGTTACACACCAATAAAGGTTAGCTCATCTGAATATCTGGCAGCATAAAGTGTCAAAGCCATTTTTGGTTAGCATTGGCATCTGCGCAGACCCATTTTAGACACTACTTCGTTTTGAGCAGGGTCCTGCAGAGGACACGGGAAGGACAACGTTTTTTAATAAGTAGGCCAGTAAAATGATTACTAGCTAGCTACAAGTGCAGAAAAATCTTGAGAATTTGAATAGGAAGCTAGCTAAGTAAATAGCTAGTGTTTCTAAGGATCAGTCAGTCCCCTTTATGTTGAATGAAGCTACTTAGCTACACATTCAGTACAACCTGATATTAGGCCTACATAATGTAATATTATCTAACTTAACGTTATGCCCATGGCAAAGGTAGCTAATCATCAAGTAAATACTGCAACAGTCTAGGGGTTCTTTGTTGCAAAAAAGTTTACTAACACATAGGGGCCTAATGTCATGGTTGAAATAAGACTGAATATAGGGGCTGCACTGGGTGTTGCATTATCTCCTTACCATGTGAGTTTGGAAGTCTCCCAATTACTAAAGGTCTCATTATGGACATGATGTAGGCCTGTGCTTCTTTTACAGTGGCTACCATAGACTAAGACTATCAGTTAGTGATTAATCTAGCCAATGTGTGGTGTTTGTAATAAAACTTGACACTCAAATAGATAAGGCTGATAGGCTACCATTTACAACCGTCAGTTTACTTACTATATCAGATGTCTGATTTTACAGTTCGCATGAGTCCATCTAGTTAAATGGCATCTTAACGCAGTCATGAAGGTGATTTCGCTCTGTATCCACGGTTGCTCGACTATGTCCAGCTGATCTATCCGCTTAAATAGAATGTGAGGCACCAGTGAAAGACCCAGTACTACAAAAATACATGGTTTTCACTCTTGAGTTGAACTGAACATGTATGATTTCAGGTCTATGCACCAACGACCCTACTAAAGAGTAGGCCTAATATTACAGTGCGCACATTTTTTCCTCTTACATCTGTGAAAGAACCCCAATTCTTTCTTTTCCTCAGAGGGAGACAGTTGTGAGTTTGGCTCCTCATATTATTTCATTATGTGTGGCATCGGTGGGATCCTGAGCTGTGGTACTACACACACAGCTTTGGTGCCCCTTGACCTCGTCAAGTGCAGGTTGCAGGTCTGTGGGCCCACCATGGGTTGCATGGCATGTAATGGATATTGTGTTGTAGATTTCACCACAAGTCGAAGTCATTCAAAATAACTGACTATCACCAAGACTAAGATCACACAAATAACGGTTTGCAGGATTAGTTTGAGTTACCACTAATTTGTTGAAATAAATGTAACCCATTATCATTAGGCCTATTTCATTTGCATGTTTGAGCTTGAGATGCACTGTTGAGGCCCTTTGCTCCACTAGGAGCTATAATAAATAAGTCAAAAGGGGTCAAGTGAGCTGTGAACCAGCTTAAAACATTAACAGGAGGGAGGGAAGTCTGAGCCTTTCTTAACAGAACTTGAAGGTGCCTTTTATTAATACAATGTCCTTTACCTTTAATGTATGACCTCAGACTCTACTTGCCCTTTCTCTCTGTGCCCAATCAGCAATTTGATACTGTACCCACATTCATTCAACGGCAGTGACCTTTAGCTTAGCAACAACTGCAGTACATTTTCAAGCTAGGACAGGACATCCTCCTTATTAAAAACCAGCCTGGAGTTAGATCTATCATACTTGCAGAGCAAGTTTTCTAAATTAATGTTGGTGACCTGGGCCTGTATTCATAAAGCTTCTCCGAGTAGGAGTCCTGATCTAGGATCATGCCCCCCGTCCCCCCTCTATGTAATCTTGTATATTATGGTCTAAAAGCCTAAACTGATCCTAGATCAGCACTCCTAGTCTGAGGGCAGGCCCTGGTGTGAGTACAGGAAACACTCAGACATATTATTGATTCAAGCCTTGTTTGTGATAATACTCACCATCACCTTACAATTAACATGAATACATATGTTAATAGCGCTAAGAAGTTTCGGGCAGAGAGAATTATCCCCTGTGCCAGCATACACATTCAGGAGGACAGCCTAGAGCAGTGGTTTTCAACTGGTTTTGCCTCGGGACCCAAATTGAACCATGTTGTCTGTGGTGACCCAATATTCACATCGCAAAAAAGAATCGCCAAAATACAATCTGGAAAACTATTTTAAATGCTATGTTGATATTAAATGTAGCAATTATATGACAAGGGAACAACATTCCCACCTCTCTCATTGTCAATAATGAAATGTTGCCCATATTCTTGATGAAGAAAGTTAATAAAGTCACTGATTTGAGACCACAACATCAACCAAACTGGCGCTGCTAATAGCTCTATATATAAAAATACTGTGATTGAAGAAAAATTGTTCAGAGATTAAATTATTTAAAAATGTAAGTTAGTTATAATTTCTACACATGTTCTACCTGGTTTAAGTTGTTAAAGTTCAGACTGGAGTATATATTTTTTTACTCAGACACCCGCGACCCATTCAAATCCTCATTTGGGTCGCGACCCATCATTTCAGAATCGCTGGGCTAGAGAACATACTAGACCAAATAGTCTGTCACTTGTTTGCGAGCCTTGGCAGAATTGCTAACATTGTGGTGTGAGAAATTCAAATTCTTAGCATGGCTCCCTAGCCTTATCTAACAGCATGGTGTGTTGTCTGTTTGTGTATTGTGTTCTGTCTGCTCTAGATTCTGATATTAGCTGCGAGTTTGGCTCTATGAAATACTATGCCTTGTGCGGCTTCGGTGGCATCCTCAGCTGTGGGATTACACACACGGCGGTCGTACCCCTCGACCTGGTCAAGTGCCGTCTGCAGGTCTGTATCTCAGCTAATGTCTCTCAGTAAGCTGTAATGAGTGTGCTGGACTGGAATAATGTATACATTGCAGAGTTGGGGTTAATTCCATTTCTATTCGGGAAGTAAAACTGAAATTCTGTTGTAGATTTACCTAATTGAAAGCAAACGAGACATTTGAATTTCTATTTACTTCCTGAATTGAAATGTAATTTGCCCCAACCCTTATAAATTGATAATACATTGAGTGTTATGGATGGCCCTGTAGTATTGAGTGTATTTCTGTAGTATTTAGTGCATTTCCTCTACAAAGACCTCCAAGCACCATTTCCCCCCTCAAAACCACTACTACTAGTTCACAACCATTAGCCATTCTGTTTTTAATGTGTTCTCTAGGTGGACCCAGACAAGTACAAGAGCATCTTCAAGGGCTTCTCCATCACCATAAAGGAGGACAGCATGCGGGGGCTGGCTAAGGGCTGGGCTCCTACCTTCATCGGCTACTCCATGCAGGGTCTCTGCAAGTTTGGCTTCTATGAGGTGTTCAAGATCACCTACAGCGACATTATCGGAGAGGTAAGTAGTTACCTACTAAGTAATTGATGACGATGAAAATAATGATTATTGTTTATTTCGTTTCATTTGCACTATGGTGTAGCCGCAGAAAAAACACCTGTTTCAACTTGTCAAGGGGTTAGAATCAGGTATGCTTGTCCGGGGCCACACAAAAATATTTACTGTTGGGGGTACTCGCGGACCGGATTTGTGAAACACTGCTCTACACTATATAATTTTGGGGGGGATGGTATTAAGAGATAAAATGCATTTGGAAAGTATTCAGGCCCCTTCCGCTTTTTCCACATTTTGTTACGTTTTATTCTAAAATTGTACTGAGTAAAGGGTCTGAATACTTATGTAAATGTGATATTTCAGTCATGTTTTTAGCAAAAATGTCTAAACCTGTTTTTGCTTTGTAGCTCAGTTGGTAGAGCATGGCGCTTGCAACGCCAGGGTTGTGGGTTCGATTCCCACGGGGGGCCAGTATGAAAAATGTATGCACTCACTAAATGTAAGTCGCTCTGGATAAGAGCGTCTGCTAAATGACTAAAATGTCATTATGGGGTGTTGTGTGTAGATTGAGGGGAAAAAACAATTTAATCAATTTTAGAATAATGCTGTAACGTAACAAAATGTGGAAAAAGTAAGGGGGTCTGAATACTTTCCGAATGCACTGTATAGGCTGGAAGTGGAAGCCTAAGTGTTGTTGTCCATACGTTTACTCCAATTAGGGGATGGGTGGAAGGGTTAGGGGAAAATAATAAAGGAACATATTTTTTTAAATATATTTTTTATTCTTCAAAAAAGTATGGGGGATTGGAAACGATGCAGACAATTACATTGATGGACACTACAATCTTTTTATTTTATTTGTATTTAACCAGGTAAGCCAGTTGAGAACAAGTTCTCATTTACAACTGCGACCTGGCCAAGATAAAGCAAAGCAGTGCGATAAAAACAACAACACAGAGTTACATATGGGGTAAACAAAACATAAAGTCAAAAATACAACAGAAAATATATATACAGTGTGTGTGAATGTAGTAAATTATGGAGGTATGGCAATAAATAGGCCATAGTGCAAAATAGTTACAATTTCGTTTTAACACTGGAATAATGTGCAAAAGATGATGTGCAAATAGAGATACTGGGGTGCAAATTAGCAAAATAAATAACAATATGGGGATGAGGTAGTTGGATGGGCTAATTACAGATGGGCTGTGTACAGGTGCAGTGATCGGTAAGCTGCTCTGACAACTGACGCCTAAAGTTAGCAATCTATCTGCAATATTAAAGCTGATCTGCCCCGTACAAACAAAAACAAAACAAATATGCCCTACACTACCAATGTGTAGTGCCCACTTGGGTGATGCCCTGGCACCAGAAATCCCACCGCACATCAGTAATCGTCAGAGTAGTTGTCCTCACCTTAACGGGCCCCTGCTATCTCCGCAATCCTCTCGCTGCACTTCTCCTCCGCCTCTCAAGCCGATGTTTGCATTCGATCCAAAAGTTCTCCCACTTAAAAAGATGAGAGAGGCCTGTAATTTTCATCATAGGTACACGTCAACTATGACAGACAAAATCACATTGTAGGATTTTTAATGAATTTATTTGCAAATTATGGTGGAAAATAAGTATTTGGTCACCTACAAACAAGCAAGATTTCTGGCTCTCACAGACCTGTAACTTCTTCTTTAAGAGGCTCCTCTGTCCTCCACTCGTTACCTGTATTAATGGCACCTGTTTGAACTTGTTATCAGTATAAAAGACACCTGTCCACAACCTCAAACAGTCACACTCCAAACTCCACTATGGCCAAGACCAAAGAGCTGTCAAAGGACACCAGAAACAAAATTGTAGACCTGCACCAGGCTGGGAAGACTGAATTTGCAATAGGTAAGCAGCTTGGTTTGAAGAAATCAACTGTGGGAGCAATTATTAGGAAATGGAAGACATACAAGACCACTGATAATCTCCCTCGATCTGGGGCTCCACGCAAGATCTCACCCCGTGGGGTCAAAATGATCACAAGAACGGTGAGCAAAAATCCCAGAACCACACGGGGGGACCTAGTGAATGACCTGCAGAGAGCTGGGACCAAAGTAACAAAGCCTACCATCAGTAACACACTACGCCGCCAGGGACTCAAATCCTGCAGTGCCAGACGTGTCCCCCTGCTTAAGCCAGTACATGTCCAGGCCCGTCTGAAGTTTGCTAGAGTGCATTTGGATGATCCAGAAGAGGATTGTGAGAATGTCAGATGAAACCAAAATAATAACTTTTTGGTAAAAACTCAACTCGTCGTGTTTGGAGGACAAAGATGCTGAGTTGCATCCAAAGAACACCATACCTACTGTGAAGCATGGGGGTGGAAACATCATGCTTTGGGGCTGTTTTTCTGCAAAGGGACCAGGACGACTGATCCGTGTAAAGGAAAGAATGAATGGGGCCATGTATTGTGAGATTTTGAGTGAAAACCTCCTTCCATCAGCAAGGGCATTGAAGATGAAACGTGGCTGGGTCTTTCAGCATGACAATGATCCCAAACACACCGCCCGGGCAACAAAGGAGTGGCTTCGTAAGAAGCATTTCAAGGTCCTGGAGTGGCCTAGCCAGTCTCCAGATCTCAACCCCATAGAAAATCTTTGGAGGGAGTTGAAAGTCCGTGTTGCCCAGCAACAGCCCCAAAACATCACTGCTCTAGAGGAGATCTGCATGGAGGAATGGGCCAAAATACCAGCAACAGTGTGTGAAAACCTTGTGAAGACTTACAGAAAACGTTTGACCTGTGTCATTGCCAACAAAGGGTATATAACAAAGTATTGAGAAACTTTTGTTATTGACCAAATACTTATTTCCCACCATAATTTGCAAATAAATTCATTAAAAATCCTACAATGTGATTTTTTTTTTCTAATTTGGTCTGTCATAGTTGACGTGTACCTATGATAAATTACAGGCCCCTCTCATCTTTTTTAAGTGGGAGAACTTGCACAATTGGTGGCTGACTAAATACTATTTTCCCCCACTGTAATTAGTACTGTACTAAGGTTGTTCTCATCAGTGGCACAGAAAGGCTCCATCGCAATTCGTTTTTCCGGGATTCATCGCATCCCGTCTCCTTGACACCAACTGTATCTTTAATAATACGCTTTGAAAAGGAGGCGAGGAGAGAGAATGCAAGGCAATCCAAAAAGATTAATTGAGAAAGAGCCAAAGAATAAAGTTGTTCCCCTCCTCCCATTTTGACTACTCATTATGATTTAGGGATGCACACTTAGTCTTCACCTCCTAACCTCCCGGTCTGCCTACCCCAGGAAAACACCTACCTGTGGAGGACCTCCCTCTACCTGGCTGCGTCTGCTAGTGCTGAGTTCTTTGCTGACATTGCCCTGGCCCCTATGGAGGCGTGTAAAGTCCGTATCCAGACCTGCCCCGGCTACGCCAGCAACCTCAGACAGTGTGCCCCCAAGATGTTCGCAGAGGAGGGCCTCTGGGCGTGAGTAACCCTATTGAATCAGCCGGTCACATTATGCTACCTCCTGCTTAGCCATAACCCTTTGATGTTTGCGGATCTGAAGGGTCTGGATTTGTATAATAATGTACTGAACATAAAAATAAACGCAACAATTTCTAAGATTTTACTGAGTTACAGTTCATATAAGGAAATCAGTCAATTTAAATAAATAAATTACACCCTAATCTATGAATTTCACATGACTGGGCAGGGGCTGAACCATAGGCCCACCCACTTAGGAGCCAGGCCCACCCACTGGGGAGCCAGGCCCAGCCAATCAGAATGGGTTTTTCACCACAAAAGAGCATTTATTACAGACAGAAATCCTCCTCAGTTTCATCAGCTGTCCCGGGTGGCTGGTCTCAGACGATCCCGCAGGTGAAGAATGCAACAAAATGGGAAAAACTCCAAGGGGGATGAATACTTTTGCAAGGCACTGTATATGTAAAGACAATATTAAATCAAGAATAGTGTGATAGGTGACAATTTTAGCATCGCTTTTTTTTTGCGACTTTTTCAAATCATAGTCGCACACCTCATGTAGCCTAGCGCATAGGCCTATATGTTTTGATAAGGTTTGTATTACAACTAAAGTGGCCAAATAACTTCTTAAAATTAAGCACATTAATCCACTTTACAACGGTGTAGAGCCTAACTGGCATACATACGCAGCGCTTGAGTTTCAAGTTTGGGGAAGATCATTTCCACCATAAAAATGCATAGTCGCATTTGCAGTGACTTTTGATAATGGTGTTTTCCTGCTAGTGGAACATTCGCGCTTATAGCCTACTGCCGTGTGCGCATTGCTGCATTTATAATGTGAAGAAAAAGCCTAATAGTTTATCAACATTTTAAGCTAAACCTCATCTGTTGCGTCAGGCTCATTGCTTAAAACAGTTTTTTTATGCTAGTGGTTGTATTAATTTGGGATCTATCGCATCCCACAACTGTCCCAGACTATGTTTGGAATATTTATTTCTCGCACAGAATAGGTCAACTTTTGTACTGTGGGGGGATGGTAGATTGACATAGGCTAGTGCTTTTGCTGTTCGTTAGGCCTACTCCTCTTGTTGGCTGACAAAGTACATGTGGACACTTCTTCCAATATCTTCAATATGCGCCTCGGAATTGGATAAGGACGCGCGCAGTTGCGTCCACGATGTGTCTGTGTTCACTTGTAGCCTGTGAGAAAGACCCGATCATGTGAGGGGTGCTTCGGCACGCAGCAGGGAGAAGGGATTTATAATTATTATATTCAGCCCAAGGGCTTAACGGCCACTGGCCGCAAAAGGCATGGATTTTTTTAGGGGGATTATGGCTACACAATGGGATGTAGCCGGGTAATTCGAGGCATTATCAAGTGCTTGTCAAATTGTGAATGAGGGACTGATGAAGTGTGCAAATAGCAAAGCGGAGCTCATGCCTTTCATGCAACCTTTTTTCAAATCATCATTAGTCGCATCATGCAGCCTTAGAATGTTTTAAAAATCAAAACATATAGCCCAACATTTGTATCACAACTAAAGTTACATAAATAACTCTAAATTAAGCATATAGCAGGACCTGTTTCTTTGTTAACTGTTCAACACAGAATAGCCGCGTGTGCACACTCCCTCAAATCGTTTGGAGAAAATATCCTTTCTATTTTATTCAGCTATGTTCAATTGTATTCTTCATACTATAAAATAATGCCACAGAATACTAAGCACATCTTGTCTGCTAAATGAACTAGTGTAGCCCACAGCCATATGGCATAGCCAGATCACAACCTAACATAAGGACAACTCAGTGTATGCTATTCTGTTCTTCTGAAATAGACTACATTCTCTTCAGATCATGTTTCTTTAGACCTGTCTAAAATAAATAATGGATTTATTGGCTATATTACTTGGATTTATTAGACTTTTAAAAATGTAGTTCCAAAGGTCTGCATCAGTGACTTGTAGGCTATGTGTGGAAGCCAGGAGATGCTAAATGTGTTTATGTTAATTAACGGTCAATTACCATGAGACTGGCAGTTATTTGCTTGACAATCACCGGCTGACAAAATGTCATGACCGCCACATCCCTAGGTGCACCTGTGTAATGATCATGCTGTTTAATCAGCTTCTTGATATGCCACACCTGTCAGGTGGATGGATTTATTTGGCAAAGGAGAAATGCTCACTAACAGGGATGTAAACAAATGTGTGCACAAAATGAGAGAAATACGCTTTTTGTGCATGGGATCTTTTATTTCAACTCATGAAACATGGGACCAACACTTAACATGTTGCTTTTATATTTTTGTTCAGTATAGTTCTTCCACCATATTGCTGCCACATTACAGATCTGCAAACATCGTAGGGTTGCGGCAAAGGGGGGGGGGAGGGGGAACACATTGGGACCAGCTGAATTACTCTGGCCTCGTTTTGTAATGACTCAAATAAATTCAGCCCAGAATAAACTCAGATTTTCTCCTCAATGAGAAGTTTCAATTCAAAGTAACACACTCCTTAGATACACCTCTGGGAGGCGCTACTGAGTCCTCTCTCTTGCTGTCTGTATGTGTGTGCGCTGACTGCAGCCCCAGCCCAGATGCCCCCAGCTGCTTTCTGGCTGTACAGTTGGGAGGTGCTTGTAATTGGTCTACTCTCTTGACCAATCAGAATGATGCAAAATGTCACATCAGCAGACAGTGCGCAGTTGATTTCAGGCTGCTATAATGGTAATTTTGTCTAACAGTAGCCTAGGCTAACAGTGAAAGATAAGTATGATGTTCGCCATCATAGAACTAATTCTGTAAAAAAAAATGTTTTCTGTTGAATGTTTTGCATTGTTCTATGTCAGGTTTTGTTGGTGTGTTAATGTAGGCTAATCGCTATTTGAAGTGGGGAAAATAGCATACCATTGTCAGGGCTGACCAGAGGGCTAAATGCGCTATGATGGTAAATTACTTTTCATGTAAAACATAGCCCATGAGAGAGAAAATGAGCTTAGGAAAAAAAAAAAACTTTGTGCGTCCTCGGAACTGTAGGCTACATTTAGAACGCAACTGTAAACAACGAACTGTCAAAGCCACATGATGTCTGAAGCATCAGTAGCTCAATGTGCCATACACAAACACTACTTTCCAAAGTTTGTCATGTTATTAAACTAAGCATTTCAAATGTCATGGTATATCCTTGTGTGTAATAAAGTAACATGGCAAATTAAATTTAGACAAAGCTTTTTTTATTGTTAAAATGGGCCCCAAAAAAATCATCAAAAAATGAATACCTTCTAGGGATGGGCATTTAAAATGATTTCAGTCTTCGGTTATCCGGATAGTCGAAATACATGTGCTCTGCTTGGAAGGGTGAGAGAGGAGCAGGGGCCGCTGTGTGTGTCTGTGGCACGGAGGGAGAGCGAGAAAGTAGCCAATCTATCATACCATCTGGTAGTGCCCGTCATGACTGCATCAAATCATTGTAAAGAAGCTATTTAGAGTAGCCAGCTAATTTAGCCAGCTAGCTAGCTAAAGTAGCAAGGCTAATTGAGTCTATTTTGAGGCGTCCTTGTCTACAACAACTCCATTCATATGAAACAACAGCCTACCTGTTGGTTAATCATTGTAGCCTACTCCTTCTCATTTAGCCAACTTAACTTTAATTCCATTTTGCGTTGATTAGAAATCTCCCACTTCACTTGCTACACATGGAGCCTCTGACTGTAGCGGCGCTTTGATTGACCGACAATAACAACAAGCTACACGTTTGAAATGTATGTAAACTTCTGGTGCGTCCTTTTTATGGGGCGCACTCAAACATTTTTCATAAGTTTTAAAATGTCTAATGTAATGGTCTATCCTTGTAGCAATGTCTCCCAGGGAATCGAATACTAATGTCCTTCCGGATATTCGGTTAACCGTGCCCATCCTTAATATAGTTCAGAATTAGGCTTAATCCTGGTGTGGGAAATGTCAATAAAATCAAGAAGTCACTCATTTGCTCCACCTCTGCCTCTGTCCCCTCTCTAGTTTCTACAAGGGTGTGGTCCCTCTGTGGATGAGGCAGATCCCCTACACCATGATGAAGTTTGCCTGCTTTGAGAGGACCGTAGAGCTGCTGTACAAACATGTGGTGCCCAAGCCCCGTGCTGAATGCTCCAAGTCTGAACAGCTGGTCGTCACCTTCGTGGCTGGATATATCGGTGAGTCCACAGTGCTGGAGAGAAGTTTATTGCAATTGGTAGATGAATAGGTATGTTAAAAACATATTTACAACCACATAGGTCAGGGATGGGCAACTTTGATGGGTGGGGGCCACAAAATGAGGAGCCACAGTGGCTCGTGTCTGCTTACCCACATCCATACCCACACATGCAGTCAGAGCCTGTCCTAGCCTTTTGGGGACCCTAAGCAACATTTGGTTGGGAGGGGCCAACAAAAACACGAACCAAGTCACGAACTCTGATACCTCCTGCGCCTCGACCTGTTTCGTCCTGTTGTTTCCTAAGTTTTATTTTGTTCATAAGTGTTTGTGTCTACCTGCTACCAACTAGCCAGCTAGCTGGGTTGCAATGGAGCCCGCTTCGCCTGGAATAGCTAACGAATGTTTCCAGTGCTGCTGTTTATTACGCTCTTGTCCTGGACAATATTAACAATCCAGAGTTCCAATGCGGCAATTGTTTGCTTGCGGAGGATTACAGGAATGAGGTGGCTTTCCTTAGCAAGCAAATTTCAATTCTGCACGAATTTGTGGGGAAAACGCAAATTGGAACTTTCTCGTTCTCAACTTCTGTGGCAGGACGCCGCTCCGGGCCTGATGGATGTATCCCCACCTTGTCATCTGTCCCTATCCGAAAGGCCTGTGTTACCTGGAACTTGCCTGCCAAGGAAGTCGTCTCCATCTACTTCTCCTCCTCCATCTTGTAGTGGAGTAGACGTCGAACAGCAAGAGGATTGTTTCAATCAGTGCTGGATCTATGTCACAAGTCGTGGAAACCGAAGACAGCGGCATGCTTCTAAGAGGACTGGACTGTCTGTGATAAGGAAAACGTTGCCGTACTGGTGCCTGAACTACCTGCGCCTTCATCGCTGGGACTGCCTGTGTCTGCGATGGCTGTGCTGACTCCAACTACGCTGACTCCAGCAGCGGCTTCGTCGTCGAGTTTGGCTCCTTTCCCTCTTTTGTTGGATCTTACGGGGCACTGCCTACTGTGGGCGGTCTGGACCTATCGCCGGGAGCAGCGGGCTTACGCTATCCTGCTTCTCGTGGGCCCGTGAAAGGTTCAACTAATTGTGTGAGGGGTAGGAATGGGCGGATTTCTCCATCCCCTTCTCCGGCCGTTGTATTGGGCAGTTCAATGGTGAGAAATATCTCAGTCCTGGAGCATAAACGCTCTGCTATCCAGGAGCACAAGTACAGGACATCAATAAGCTGCTCCCAAACATTTTAAACCTGCATCAGGAAATTGAGTCTATCATAGTTCATGTGGGATTCAATGACATTATGAAGGGCAGCTCAGAACAGCTGAAGATGGATTTTAAAGAACTGATTGGGTCTCTGCTTGACACCAACAAACACCCCATAATATCTGGCCCTGTGCCCCACCTAAATCGTGGCATTGAACATTTCTGACTTTTAGCCCTCCATAACTGGCTGTGAGACTATTGCAGCTCTGTGGGTGTAACATTTATTGACAATTTTGATACTTTCTGGAAACAAAGCTCGTTTTTATAAGGAGGATGGGATTCACCCAAATCATTTGGGTTCCTGGATCCTTTCACAGCCTTATAAGGCTGCGATGAGACAATGACTTATCAATGGCCCAGCTCAGTTAATCCCTACTATTGTGTCGCTGAGTTGTCATTATGCTTCAGCAAATGTACATTATCCCAGGGGCGTTGGAAGACACAATGTAAGTAACCTAATTTATGTCCCTCTAACTGCCCTGAATGCCTCTGCTGATCCTACAGCTATTGTATGCAGTAATCATGTGCCTATGAACCAGAGTTATACTGTTAGCACTAAGGTGGTGTGCCCTAGTAGGAAGTCCACTGTGTGCAGCTCACCCTGCACTAACATAAATAACTTGAGTATGTCTACTTCTGCTAAGCTTCCCAGTAAAGCAATGAAAACGATCAAGCATCCCAGGAAAGTGTAGAAATAGCCCACGTTAACATATGTAGCTTAAGAAATAAGGTTCATGAAATCAATAATTTGCTAGTAACAGATAACATTCCTATTCTGACAATCTCTGAAACTCCGATAATACCTTTTGACGCAGTGGTAGCAATACATGATTATAACATTTACAGAAAAGGTGAATGCCAAAGGTGGAGGTGTTGCCATTTTATATTAAGAACCACATTCCTGTAAAGCTTAGAGGATCTCATGTTAAATACTGTTGGAGTAATATGTCTACAGGTTCATCTGCCTCACCTAAAGCTCATTCCGGTGGGAAGCTGCTATAGACCAACAAGTGCTAACAGTCAGTATCTGGATAATGTGTGAAATGCTTGATAATGTATGTGATATCAAAAGGTATATTTTCTGGGTGATTTTCAATATTAACTGGCTTTCATCAAGCTGCCCACTCAAGAAAAAGCTTCCAACTGTAGCTAGTGCCTGCAACCTGGTTCAGGTTATCAATCAACCTACCAGGGTAGTTAAAAAACGGCACAGGAATGAAATCATCATGTATTGATCACATCTTTACTAATGCTGCAGAAATTTGCTTTGAAGCAGTGTCCAAATCTATCGGATGTAGTGATCACAATATAGTAGCCTTATCTAGGAAAACCAAAGTTCCAATGGCTGGGCCTAATATAGTGTATGAGGTTATACAATAAATGTTGTAGTGATTCCTATGTTATTGATGTAAAGAATATTTGTTGATGTGTAATGAGGAGCAACCAGACGCTGCATTTGACACAGTTTATGAAATTGCAATTCCTGTTGCTAATAAGCATGCACCCATTTTAAGAAAATTACAGTGGAAACTGTTAAATCCCCGTGGATTGATGAGGAATTGAAAAATGTTATGGTTGAGAGGGATGAGGTAAAAGGAATGGCAAATAAGTCTGGCTGCACAACCGATTGGCAAATGTATAGCAAATTGAGAAATCGTGTGACTAAACTGAATAAAAACAAGAAACTATACTATGAAACAAAGATAAATGACCAACCCATAGTAAACTTTTGGGAAAAATTGTGTTTGACCAGATACAATGCTATTTTACTATAAACAAATTAACAGACTTTCATCACACTTATTGGGAAGGACGTTTAACAAGCACGGCACTTACACAAATGACTGTTTGGCTGAGAGAAATTGATGATAAAAAGATTGTGGGAGCTGATTTGTTATACTTCAATGCGGCTTTTGACATTATCGATCATAGTATGCTGATGGAAAACGTATGTGTTATGGCTTTACACCCCCTTCTATATTGTGGATAAAGAGTTAACTATCTAACAGAACAGAGGGTGTTCTTTAATGGAAGCCTCGTCAACATAATCCAGGTAGAATCAGGAATTGCCTTTGAGTAAAGCCAGTGTGTCTATGTATGCGGATGACTATACATGTCAGCTACTACATCGAGTTAAATCACTGCAACACAAAGAGCTGCAGTTAGTTTCAGAATGGGTGGCAAGGAATAAGTTAGTCCAAAATATTTCAAAAACTAAAAGCATTGTATTTGGGACAAATCATTCACTAAACCCTAAACCTCAACTGAATCTTGTAATAAATTGTATGGAAATTGAGCAAGTTGAGGTGCCACAAAGAGGGACCTCGGAAAATTACTGTTGTCTCTGAATAGGGCAGCATGGCTGGCCCTTCAATGGAGAGCGAACATTGAAGTCGGAAGTTTACATACACCTTAGCCAAATACATTTAAACTCAGTTTTTCACAATTCCTGACATTTAATCCTAGTAAAAATTCCCTGTCTTAGGTCAGTTAGGATCACCACTTTATTTTAAGAATGTGAAATGTCAGAATAATAGTAGAGGAGTGATTTATTTCAGCTTTTATTTCTTTCATCACATTCCCAGTGGGTCAGAAGTTTACATACACTCAATTAGTATTTGGTAGCATTGCCTTTAAATTATTTAACTTGGGTCAAACGTTTCGGGTAGCCTTCCACAAGCTTCCCACAATAAGTTGGGTGAATTTTGGCCCATTCCTCTTGACAGAGCTGGTGTAACTGAGTCAGGTTTGTAGGCCTCTTTGCTCGCACACGCTTTTTTCAGTTCTCCCCACACATTTTCTATAGGATTGAGGTCAGGGCTTTGTGATGGCCACTCCAATACCTTGACTTTGTTGTCCTTAAGCCATTTTGCCACAACTTTGGAAGTATGCTTGGGGTCATTGTCCATTTGGAAGACCCATTTGCGACCAAGCTTTAACTTCCTGACTGATGTCTTGAGATGTTGCTTCAATATATCCACATAATGTTCCTTCCTCATGATGCCATCTATTTTGTGAAGTGCATCAGTCCCTGCTGCAGCAAAGCACCCCCACAGCATGATGCTGCCACCCCCGGTGCTTCACGGTTGGGATGGTGTTCTTCGGCTTGCAAGCATCCCCCTTTTTCCTCCAAACATAACAATGGTCATTATGGCCAAACAGTCCTATTTTTGTTTCATCAGACCAGAGGACATTTCTCCAAAAAGTACGATCTTTGTCACCATGTGCAGTTGCAGACTATAATCTGGCTTTTTTATGGCGGTTTTGGAGCAGCTGCTTCTTCCTTGCTGAGCGGCCTTTCAGGTTATGTCGATATAGGACTCGTTTTACTGTGGATATAGATACTTTTTGTACCTGTTTCCTCCAGCATCTTCACAAGGTCCTTTGCTGTTGTTCTGGGATTGATTTGCACTTTTCGCACCAAGTACGTTCATCTCTAGGAGACAGAACGCGTCTCCTTCCTGAGCGGTATGACGGCTGCGTGGTCCCATGGTGTTTATACTTGCGTACTATTGTTTGTACAGATGAACGTGGTACCTTCAGGCATTTGGAAATTGCTCCCAAGGATGAACCAGACCTGTCGAGGTCTATAATTATTTTTCTGAGGTCTTGGCTGATTTCTTTTGATTTTCCCATGTCAAGCAAAGAGGCACTGAGTTTGAAGGTAGGCCTTGAAATACATCCACAGGTACACCTCCAAATGACTCAAATGATGTCAATTAGCCTATCAGAAGCTTCTAAAGCCATGACATCATTTTCTGGAATCTTCCAAGCTGTTTAAAAGCACAGTCAACTTAGTGTATGTAAACTTCTGATCCACTGGAATTGTGATGAAGTGAAATAATCTGTCTGTAAACAATTGTTGGAAAAATTACTTGTCAGTCACAAAGTAGATGTCCTAACCGACTTGCCAAAACTATAGTTTGTTAACAAGAAATTTGTGGAGTGGTTGAAAAACTAGTTTTAATGACTCCAACCCAAGTGTATGTAAACTTCCGACTTCAACTGTATATCTCTCATGGCTCAAAGTGGAGGAGAGATTGACTTCATCACTACTTGTTTTTGTAAGAAGTGTTGAATGCACCGAGGTATCTGTTTTTAAACTGCTAGCACACAGCTCGTACACCCATGCATACCCCACAAGACATGCCACCAAACGTCTCTTCACAATCCCCAAGTCAATAACAGACTATGGGAGGCGCACAGTACTACATAGAGCCATGGCTACATGGAACTATATTCCACATCATGTAACTTATGCAAGCAGTAGAATCAGATTTTGAAAAAACTGATAAAAATACACCTTATGGAACAGCGGGGGACTGTGAAGAGACACCCACATAAGACATGCAGTCTACACACGTATACATGATGTTGTATTGTAAATATGTGATAGTGTAGTAGTGGCCTGAGGGCACACACTAAATGAATTGGGTAAAGTGTTATGAAATGTAATGTCATGTAATATTTTTAAATGTATATAACTGCCTTAATGTTGCTGGACCCCAGGAAGCGTAGCTGCTGCCTTGCGGATCCTTAATAAATACAAATACCTTGCGTGCAAAACGTTTTAGCGGCCCCCCTCTTGAGTGGAAATAAAATGTTTTTGTTTTACGTTTTTGCAATTCTACACATTTTCGCCATGGGGCAGAGAGACATTGCAGTTTTACAGCTACAGTGCATTCAAAGTATTCCGACCCCTTGACTTTTTCCACATTTTTTTACGTTACAGCCTTATTCTGAAATTGATTAAATCGTTTTTTCCTCAATTTACACACAATACCCCATAATAACAAAGGGAAATGTTTGCAAATGTATTAAAAATACAAAACAGAAACCTTATTTACATAAGTATTCAGACCCTTTACTCAGTACTTTATTGAAGCACCTTCTGGCAGCGATTACAGCCTTGACTTTTCTTGGGTATGATGCAACAAGCTCGGCACACCTGTATTTGGGGAGTTTCTCCCATTCTTCTCTGCAGATGCTTTTTTCAGGTCTCCAGAGATGTTCGGTCGGGTTCAAGTCCGGGCTCTGGCTGGGCCACAAAGCCACTCCTGCGTTGTCTTGGCTGTGTACTTGGGGTCGTTGTTCTGTTGGAAGGTGAACGTTCGCCCCAGTCTGAGGTCCTGAGCGGTCTGGAGCAGGTTCTCATCAAGGATCTCTCTGTACTTTGCTCCGTTCATCTTTCCCTCGATCCTGACTAGTCTCTCAGTCCCTGCCGCTGAATAACATCCCCACAGCATGATGCTGCCACTATGCTTCACCGTAGGGATGGTGCCAGATTTCCTCCAGACATGACGCTTGGCATGTAGGCCAAAGAGTTCAATTTTGGTTTCTTCAGACCAGAGAATCTTGTTTCTCATGGTCTGAGAGTCCTTTTGGGTGCCTTTTGGAAAACTCCAAGCGGGCTGTCGTGCCATTTACTGAGGAGTGGATTCCGTCTGGCCACTCTACCATAAAGGTCTGATTGGTGGAGTGCTGCAGAGATGGTTGTCCTTCTGGAAGGTTCTCCCATCTCCACAGAGGAACTCTGGAGCTCTATCAGATTGACTATCGGGTTCTTGGTCACCTCCCTGACCAAAGCCCTTCTCCCCCGATTGCTGAGTTTGGCCGGGCGACCAGCTCTAGGAAGAGTCTTGGTGGTTCCGACATGCACTGTCAACTGTGGGACCTTTATATAGACAGGTGTTTGCCTTTCCAAATCATGTCCAATCAATTGAATTTACCACAGGTGGACTTGTAGAAACATCTCAAGGATGATCAATGGAAACAGGATGCACCTGAGCTCAATTTCGAGACTCATAGCAAAGGGTCTGAATACTTACATAAATAAGGTATTTCTGTTTTTGTATTTTCAATACATTTGCAAATAAAATAAAAAACGTTTCACTTTGTCATTATGGGGTGTGTGTAGATTGATGAAAAATGTTTTATTTAATCAATTTTAGAATAAGGCTGTAACGTAACAAAATATGGAAGAAGTCAAGGGGTCTGAATACTTTCCGAATGCACTGTAGGTGGACAAACTGCATTTAAAATCATTGAGGATATGGTAATAAAAAGACAACAGGCCACATTAAATCAGTTAGCAGGCCATATTTGGCTGTATGTTTGAGACCCCTGCCCTAGTCAAAATCAAGATTTTCTATGTTGTCTTGATCACATCCCTGGTGGTTGTGTTCTCTCCCCTTCAGCTGGTGTGTTCTGTGCCATTGTGTCTCACCCTGCTGACTCTGTGGTGTCTGTACTGAACAAGGAGAGTGGCAGCAGCGCCTTCGGAGTACTCAAGAAGCTCGGACCCAAGGGTGAGTACTGTATTCTTCCCAGAAGTTCTACAGACAGAGGGCTATCCTATTGCCCATTCTAGACTGTTTAGAACAGCAATTCTCAACTTGTGGGTTGCGACCCAAATTGAGGTTTTGAATGGGTGTCTGATTTAAATAAAATGAAAAAATACTCATCTGAACTTAAACAACTAAAGCCAGGTAGAATGTTTTTCGAAATGATAATGAACTTTTTGAATAATTTAATCCCAGAATGTTTTATATGGCGCTATTAGCGCAGTTTAGCAGATTTTGTGGTCTCAAACCAGTAAGTTTATTAACATTCTTATTCAAGAATATGGGCAAAATTGAATTATTGACAATGAAAAAGGTGGAAATGTTGTTCCCTTGTCATATAATTGCCACATTTACTATCAATATAGCATTCAAAATTGTTTTCCAGATTGTATTATGGCCATCTTTTTTCGCAATGCAAATATTGGGTTGCGACAGACAACCTGGTTAAATTTGGGTCCCGAGGCAAAACCAGTTGAGAATCACTGGTTTAGAATGTACAGTGAGGGAAAAAAGTATTTGATCCCCTGCTGATTTTGTACGTTTGCCCACTGACAAAGAAATTATCAGTCTATAATTTTAATGGTAGGTTTATTTGAACAGTGAGAGACAGAATAACAACAACAAAAATCCAGACAAACGCATGTCAAAAATGTTATAAATTGATTTGCATTTTAATGAGGGAAATAAGTATTTGACCCCTTCTCAAACAGAAAGATTTCTGGCTCCGAGGTGTCTTTTTATACAGGTAACAAGCTGAGATTAGGAGCACACTCTTAAAGGGAGTGCTCCTAATCTCAGCTTGTTACCTGTATAAAAGACACCTGTCCACAGAAGCAATCAATCAGACTCCAAACTCTCCACCATGGCCAAGACCAAAGAGCTCTCCAGGGATGTCAGGGACAAGATTGTAGACGTACACAAGGCTGGAATGGGCTACAAGACCATCGCCAAGCAGCTTGGTGAGAAGGTGACAACAGTTGGTGCGATTATTCGCAAATGGAAGAAACACAAAAGATCTCTGTAGCTCAATTGGTAGAGCATGGCGCTTGTAACGCCAGGGTAGTGGGTTCGATCCCCGGGACCACCCATACGTAAAAATGTATGCACACATGACTGTAAGTCGCTTTTGATAAAAGTGTCTGCTAAATGACTTATTATTATTATTATAATCTCCCTTGGCCTGGGGCTCCATGCAAGATCTCACCTCGTGGAATTGCAATGATCATGAGAACGGTGAGGAATCAGCCCAGAACTACACGGGAGGATCTTGTCAATGATCTCAAGGCAGCTGGGACCATAGTCACCAAGAAAACAATTGGTAACACACTACGCCGTGAAGGACTGAAATCCTGCAGCGCCCGCAAGGCCCCCCTGCTCAAGAAAGCACATACAGGCCCGTCTGAAGTGTGCCAATGAACATCTGAATGATTCAGAGGAGAACTGGGTGAAAGTGTTGTGGTCAGATGAGACCAAAATCGAGCTCTTTGGCATCAACTCAACTCGCCGTGTTTGGAGGAGGAGGAATGCTGCCTATGACCCCAAGAACACCATCCCCACTGTCAAACATGGAGGTGGAAACATTATGCTTTGGGGGTGTTTTTCTGCTAAGGGGACAGGACAACTTCACCGCATCAAAGGGACGATGGACGGGGCCATGTACCGTCAAATCTTGGGTGAGAACCTCCTTCCCTCAGCCAGGGCATTGACAATGGGTCGTGGATGGGTATACCAGCATGACAATGACCCAAAACACACGGCCAAGGCAACAAAGGAGTGGCTCAAGAAGAAGCACATTAAGGTCCTGGAGTGGCCTAGCCAGTCTCCAGACCATAATCCCATAGAAAATCTGTGGAGGGAGCTGAAGGTCGAGTTGCCAAACGTCAGGCTCGAAACCTTAATGACTTGGAAAAGATCTGCAAAGAGGAGTGGGACAAAATCCCTCCCGAGATATGTGCAAACCTGGTGGCCAACTACAAGAAACGTCTGACCTCTGTGATTGCCAACAAGGGTTTTGCCACCAAGTACTAAGTCATGTTTTGCAGAGGGGTCAAATACTTATTTCCCTCATTAAAATGCAAATCAATTTATAACATTTTTGACATGCGTTTTTCTGGATTTTGTTGTTGTTATTCTGTCTCTCACTGTTCAAATAAACCTACCATTAAAATTATAGACTGATCATGTCTTTGTCAGTGGGCAAACGTACAAAATCAGCGGGGGATCAAATACTTTTTTCCCTCACTGTACATTGATGGAGTTAACTTTTCATTAGTCAACCTTCATTGTCCTGCAAGTCAAGGTGTATAGTAAATAGACTGAGGTTTCCAACACACTCCTTAGGTCTCTCTCTGAGTGCTGATTGCAGCTCCAGCCCAAATGCCCCTAGCAGCTGGAGGTGCTTGAGTCATTGGCGTGTGCGAACAATCTACCTGCTCCCCAGCCCATTTCCTGCACTGGCAGCCTCACTGGAACACTACCAGTGCAGACAGGCTGGGGAGCGGACATGCAATACCTATTACCTCCTGTCTCAGAGTAACCACCCCATTAGTTGTTGACCTTTCTGATGTTTTTAAATGGTGTAATGGGATATTAAAATATCAATTTGATCTGAGTTTAAACTGTTTTCTTTCTGTCTTTATTTCTCTCTTGCTCTTTCTTCCTTACTTCTCAGGTGTGTGGAAGGGTCTGGTGGCCCGTATCATTATGATCAGTACCTTGACCGCCCTGCAGTGGTTCATCTACGACTCTGTGAAGGTCTACTTCCGCCTGCCCCGTCCACCTCCCCCAGAGATGCCCGAGTCCCTCAAGAAGAAGCTGGGCCTCACCGAGTAACAAAACAAATATCGGCCTTATCAACAAATAGCAATTCAAAATGGCGGCCTTATCAACAGCCATATAAGATGTAAGACAGCGGCCTTATCAAACAACACATCCTTCAGTTAACATCCACCTAGCACACAGCTCTCTGCCTGCTATAGTCACAGCTCTCTGGGCTACAGGCATGTCCTGCCTGTAGCCCACCTACCCTGGGCTGGGCTACTGATGAGCAGGATTGGGGTCGATTCCATTTCAATTCCATGTCAGTTCTAGAAGTAAACTTATGTTTTAATTTTAAATGCACATTTTCTTAATTGAATGCAAGGTAATTTGAATTTCAGTTTACTTCCTGAATTGATTGAATTGAAATGGAATTGTCCCCAGCCCAGCTGGTCATTGGTAATGACTCATTAGGCAAACTAAAAGAGAAGAGGGAGGATGGTTCCCCCCTGTGGGGGTATAGAGGAAAGACAACGACATGAATGCAATCAGGTTAACACCCCACCATAGTTGGGTAATGCTCTAATAAATGTGGAAACAACATAGTGTTTTGTCTTGTTTTTCAAGGATTGTGGCTGATATTGCAAAGTTGATAAGGAAGGTCATGTTTGATTCCACATTAGATGCCTCTTTAGAGACTGACCATTGCCAGTAGTTGTGATGTAGTTATCTGTTTTAAATATGGGGTTGTGATGAGACTTTCAACAGATGCATTTTTTGCTCTGTCACCTAAAAACATTCAATCCAGGAGGGGATTGAATGCTTCAGAAAGATGGTTCTCTAGACATCAAATTTTATTTGCCACACACGCCGAATACAACAGGTGTATACATTACAGTGAAATGCTTACTTACAAGCCCATAACCAACAATGCAGTTTAAGAAAAAAAAAGAAGCAAATAATTAAAGAGCAGCAGTAAAATAACAGTAGGGAGGTTATATACAGGGGGTACTGGTACAGAGTCAATGTGCGGGAGCACCGGTTAGTCAAGGTAATATGTACATGTGGGTAGAGTTAAAGTGACTATGCATAAATAATAATCAGTAGCAGCAGCGTAAAAGAGGGGGGTGGGGTAAGGGGGCAATGCAAATAGTCCGGGTAGCCATGATTAGCTGTTCAGGAGTCTTATGGCTTGGGGGTAGAAGCTGTTAAGAGGCCTTTTGGACCTAGACTTGGCGCTCTGGTACCGCTTGCCGTGCAGTAGCAGAGAGAACGGTCTATGACTAGGGTGGCTGGAGTCTTTGATAATTTTGAGGGCCTTCCTCTGACACCGCCTGGTATAGAGGTCCTGGATGGCAGGAAGCTTGGCCTCAGTGATGTACTGGGTCGTACGCACTACCCTCTGTAGTGCCTTGCGGTCGGAGTCCGAGCAGTTGCCATACCAGGCGGTGATGCAACCAGTCAGGATGCTCTCGATGGAGCAGCTGTAGAACTTCTTGAGGATCTGAGGACCCATGCCAAATCTTTTCAGTCTCCTGAGGGGGAATAGGCTTTGTCGTGCCCTCTTCACGACTGTCTTGGTGTGTTTGGACCATGATAGTTTGTTGGTGATGTGGACACCAAGGAACAAGAAGCTCTCAACCTGTTCCACTACAGCCCCGTCGATGAGAATGGGGGCGTGCTCAGTCCTCTTTTTTCCTGTAGTCCACAATCATCTCCTTTGTCTTGAGCACGTTGAGGGAGAGGTTGTTATCCTGGCACCACATGGCCAGGTCTCTGACCTCCCTATAGGCTGTCTCATCATTCATTGTCGGTGATCAGGCCTACCACTGTTGTCGATTGACTCCTTCCCCTCTGCACTGATGGTAAAAGACTTGACAGGTGAAAACAATATGGTGGAAGTTCATCATTAGGGTGGCTTCAGTACCGATAACAGAGGAGGTGAGAACGGCATTTTTGTATTTGAAAGAGCGTCCCATGGTGAAGTACACAAACAGCTGACATGTCAGGTCACCCATTACAGAGGCAGTACACTTCCTGTGGGGGATGGAGGTTTAGGGCTTAGAGTTGATTACCTGCACTCAGGAGGCAGCAGGCAGGCAAGGAGAGAGGACTAGGAGACAGAAGACGACAAGCCAAGGGTAAGACTTACTGTAAATATACTTTAATTTGGATTTTGGGACAAGTGAAAGGGCAGTGGTGAGAGGGTCCAATACCAATAACCAGTGTCTGATTTGAGGGGTCAAGTGTGTGAAGCATGCACTATTAACCCTATGATGATGGTGTGCAATACCCAGCTGTACATAGGCTACCTGAGCCTATATGATGTACTTCTGCAATTTCAATCAGCCTATTGACCCTGGATATTTAGGCTATTCGTTGATTAATCGTGGTATCCTGATTTAGGCCACGTGATGTCATTGATTGCCAAGAAAAAAGCTAATACAGAATGACTGGTAAAAAGCAAGAGGAACATATATATTTTGAAGAACACAGTACAAAGGGCCATTGACCATGATATTTACATTTTACATTTTAGTCATTTAGCAGACGCTCTTATCCAGAGCGACTTACAGTTAGTGAGTGCTTATATTTTCATACTGGCCCCCCGTGGGAAACGAACCCACAACCCTGGCATTGCAAGCGCCATGCCCTACCAACTGAGCGACTATGTGAGGTGCAACTTAAGGCTACTTAATTGCAGTGGTGGAAAAAGTACCCAATTGTCATACTTGAGTAAAAGTAATTTACCTTAATAGAAAATGACTCAAGTAAAAGTTAAATTCACCCAGTAAAATACTACTTGAGTAAAACTCAAAGTATTTGGTTTTAAATATACTTAAGTATCAAAAGTAAATGTAATTGCTAAAATATACTTAAGTATTGAAAGTAAGTATAAATCATTTAAAATTCCCTATGTTAAGCAAACCAGACAGCACAATTTTTTCTTGTTTATTTATTTATTTACGGATAGCCAGGGGCACACTCCAACACTCAGACATAATTTACAAACGAAGCATTTCTGTTTAGTGAGTCCGCCAGACCAGAGGCAGTAGGGATGACCAGGGATGTTCTCTTGATAAGTGCATGAATTTGACCATTTTCCTGACCTGATAGCCATTCAAAATGTAACAAGGACTTTTGGTTGTCAGGTCAAATGTATGGAGTAAAAGGTACATCATTTTCTTTAGGAATGGAGTGAAGTAAAGGTTGTCAAATATAAATAGTAAAGTACAGATACCCCAAAAAACTACTTAAGTAGTACTTTAAAGTATTTTTACTTAAGTACTTTACACCACTGCTTAATTGTCGCATCCATCTCACTTTGGCGACAACGTCCTCTTTAAATCCAGCCTGGGACGAGGCGGTCACGCACTGACATGAGTAACCAGAATCGCCCGCGGTACATTCTCTCCTCTGAGACAGGGCAATTTTTATCAGGGAAAAGGGATGTGTGTACTGAAGATGTTTTCCTTCAAATTATTTTTGAATGTCATGTTATGGAGGATTAGTGTATTGTGTGCTTTATGCAATCGTGGTGATTATTAATAGGCTACGGCCTATTTATTATAGGCTCAGATTAAATCGGCTGAGATGTTGAAATATTTGTATTAGGCCTAAGTAAATAAAAGACTCTTAAGGTTGATTTATACACTAAAACAAGCACGTTTATGATTAAAATATCTACTCCTATTCGCGCCTCGTCCTCATTACGTTTTTCTTAAAGTTATGCGTCTCTTCCAACTTAACCCCTTAAATTATCTCAGATGTCTACCCTCGGCCATATTGTCTATTTAGCAGACTGAGCGATGATGGAATAACTGTCTGACTGTCTTGCTAAAGTGGGACTGTTTTGAAGTTGAATGCGTTGGCGCGGTGCCATGCCCAAGAGATTATGGTTTGCGCTGTTGCGCAAATTATAACGGTGGTCGTCCCATTTCATTCATCTGACAATTGTATTGGCCTGCCTAGTATCATCTTTACACAGACAATTATTATATTTGTTTTTCTAATAATCCAAAATATTATAATGAAAACAATGCATTGTTCATGGCCTACATGGATGACCTTGCCAAAACAGATAAGGATCAAGCGCATTATCCGCTCAATGTATTTATGCATGCCGTGACTGGAGCACGATGTTATGTCATTCAACATTCAGATTGACAATTTTGCGGCACTACCCTGTACTTTATTCTTTCCACCTTGACTTCACCATTATGGGCATTTGGGGAATAAAACTGTATTTCAACCATTGACCCATAATGTCTTTGCATGACTTCCAAGATAAATTACTCATAACTCATTGGCCACATTGCTGCAGCTATCATCCAGAGAAAGAAATATGTTGGTAATACTGCCTAGGAATACCCTCTTTATAACAGATTATAAACACATTTATAATCCCTTATGAGCTATGCATATATCCCAGTTTGTTTAGCACTGCCCATATACTGGATACACAGTCTAGATAGTCATCCAGGGAGCAGGACAAGTGCACCAGGTGGAGCCTGTGCCATACAGGATTACAGGATAACTCCTTTAACAGTCTGGAGTCAAGTTTGGCATCCGATTAGTAGAGGGTTCATCCGGCCGTTGGAGCACAGGAGGAAGAGCAGCAGCAGACTAGAGCTCTGTGCTGTCACTGTGGCACTTTTTGTAGTGCACCCTCGTTTTAAACCTGCGTCACATGCACTGACTGTAGTGCTGCAGCTCACCTATCGGATTCCTCCCTCCTGCCCTGCCCTGATTTGGATACAGGATACAGCCATTGTGTGAGGTGTTGTGGATGCAGGGGGAACGCACCGTAGCTCTCGTCTAGTCTGACATGTTGGTTACATGGTGGTATTTATACCTCGCAGCTCGGAGCATCGTCAAAAAAAGCAAGTATTTGTTGTTTTCTTATATCTGGGGAAGTTCAGGGTGTCCTCCTAGTATCGGCTCTGCTCGGTTATAAGGGTTGGGGCTCAGATGTTGATGTGTGTGTAAGAAACAGGTGTAGGTGGTAACAGGTGAAAGTCACACAGGACTACGAGCTGTAGAATCAAATGTCTAAAACCTTAATCTGTAATCTCCGTGCAGTGCTGCCAGCCTGCCGTTTTAAAGCCACGCAGGCTGTTTTTTATGAATGCATTACTTATTTTGTGAAACCTAAATTCACCCTACCTGGGTCGACCAACGAGTTTTGCCAGCTTGGTTGATAGTGTTTATAATATATGTCATTTATCCAAAGCGACTTACATTCATGCTTGCACACATACATTTTTTTTTTACGCATGGTTGGTCCCAGGAATCGAACCCACTATCCTGGCGTTGCAAGAGTCATGATCTACCAACTGAGCTACAGAGGAAAAGGAAAGGGAACAGAGGACCATTGTTGTATGTCTTTGGACATGTGAAATACCTCCTTTGTTTCTCTCCCCCTCTCTGTTTCTCTTGCCCTCTCTTGCTCTCTCTCCCCCCTTTCTCTCTTCATAGCATTGAACATGGCCTCTATCCTTCAGAAGCTCATCACTCCTCTGTTCAGTGGGACCCCTGAGCCCCCCAGGAACAAGGTGACAGTGGTGGGGGTCGGCCAGGTGGGCATGGCCTGTGCTGTCAGTATCCTGCTCAGGGTAAGACAAGACCTGCTGTGTTTATACTCCTGTCAGATTACTACCCCAACCTTACCCCGTACAGTATTATAGTGTTTAGTCTACTGCACTGACACTGGATTACTCTTTGCCCTGAGACATGGCTGTAGACTCCTTAGATTCCATAGGAGTCTACTGTCATGTCTCAGGGCAAGCTTACTCTCTGCCTGCTGATCTTCTCTCAGTATTACATCCATTCCCTCTTTAATACAGTGCTATTATAATGTTCAATACTTTATTATTGCTATACTATAAAACATAGGTTTTTAGACATGCACATGCAGAATACAGTGCCTTGAAAATGTATTCATCCCCCTTGACGTTTTTCCTATTTTGTTGCATTACAACCTGTAATTTAAATGGATTTTTATTTGCATTTCATGTAATGGACATATACAAAATAGTCCAAATTGGTGAAGTGGAATGAAAAAAATAACTTGTTTCAAGAAATTCAAAATAATAAATAACGTGCATATGTATTCACCCCCTTTGCTATGAAGCCCCTAAATAAGATCTGGTGCAACCAATTACCTTCAAAAGTCACAGAATTAGTTAAATAAAGTCCACCTGTGTGCAATCTAAGTGTTACATGATCTGTCACATGATCTCAGTATATATACACCTGTTTTGAAAGGCCCCAGAGTCTGCAATCACCCCGAGAACACCATCCCCACAGTGAAGCATGGTGGTGGCAGCATCATGCTGTGGGGATGTTTTTCATCGGCAGGGACTGGGAAACTGGTCAGAATTGAAGGAATGATGGATGGCGCTAAATACAGGGAAATTCTTGAGGGAAACCTGTTTCAGTCTTCCAGAGATTTGAGACTGGGACGGAGGTTCACCTTCCAGCAGGACAATGACCCTAAGCATACTGCTAAAGCAACACTCGAGTGGTTAAGGGGAAGCATTTAAATGTCTTGGAATGGCCTAGTCAAAGCCCAGACCTCAATCCAATTGAGAATCTGTGGTGTGACTTAAAGATGGCTGTACACCAGCGGAACCCATCCAACTTGAAGGAGCTGGAGCAGTTTTGCCTAGAAGAATGGGCAAAAATCCCAGTGGCTAGATGTGCCAAGCTTATAGAGACATACCTCAAGAGACTTGCAGCTGTAATTGCTGCAAAAGGTAGCTCTACAAAGTATTGACTTTGGGGGGGGTGAATAGTTATGCACACTCAAGTTCTCTGTTAGTTTGTCTTAATTCTTGTTTGTTTCACAAAAAAAAATTATTTTGCATCTTGAAAGTGGTAGGCATGTTGTGTAAATCAAATTATACAAACCCCCCAAAAATCCATTTTCATTCCAGGTAGTAAGGCAACAAAATAGGAAAAATGCCAAGGGGGGGGGGGGGGGGGGGGTGAATACTTTCGCAAGCCACTGTATGTGTAATTGACAATATCATTTCTTAGACTGATTGCTTACCTGTTGTATTGCGGTACAACTGCACAGTCATTGTACATTCATCACATCTTAACCCCAGCACCCCGTCCCCGTCTCTCGCTCTCTCTCTTCAGGAGCTGGCTGATGAGCTGGCCTTGGTGGACGTGATGGAGGATAAGTTGAAGGGAGAGATGATGGATCTGCAGCATGGCAGCCTCTTCCTCAAAACACCCAAGATAGTCGCCAGCAAAGGTGAGTGTGTAGCAATTAGGCACCAGGTAACCAGAGAACCAAGATGGACACCATCTGTGTGTCAAATGTCTGTGTGTTATATTAGGTACTCTCACTGAGGGGGGAAGGGTGTGAAATGGAGATGGAAAAGGGTGAAAGGGAAATGTATGAATGCATTATTCTATTAATGATATGACAAGTTATTGAAAAAATACTAAACACAAATTATATACAGTACTCTCACTGATTGATATTCTCCCACGGCCAGACTACTCTGTGACGGCGAATTCTCGTATCGTCGTGGTAACAGCGGGCGTTCGTCAGCAGGAGGGAGAGAGCAGGTTGAACCTGGTTCAGAGGAACGTCAACATCTTCAAACACATCATCCCTCAGATCATTAAATACTCCCCCAAGTGCATCATCATCGTGGTCTCCAACCCAGGTACACTCACACATTCATACTGTACATACCAGTGGAAGCTGGTGGGAGGAGCTATAGGAGGATGGGCTCATTGTAATGGCTGGAATGGAATTAATGGAACGGTATCAAACGTATAGAAACCATGTTTGACTCCATTCCATTAATTCCATTCCAGCCATTACAATGAGCCCGTCCTCCTATAGCTCCTCCCACCAGCCTCCACTGGTACATACACACTTAAATAAACACACACCAAGTACACTCTCACACACAGACACCATAGGCTCAGAGCCATTTATTTAGATATAAATATATGGCTCTGCATACACTCACACCAACATATAGTACCCACACACACATCCCAGCTACACTCACATAAACACACACTAACACAGATACAAACTCACACACCAGATACAGAAGTGTTCATCCAATGACTTGTTATGGAAGTCTAACCCCAGAAATCTCTCCCTGGCTGTAGTTGATGTGCTGACCTACGTGACCTGGAAGTTGAGCGGCCTGCCCAAGCACCGTGTCATCGGCAGTGGCACCAACCTGGACTCTGCCCGTTTCCGTTACCTGATGGCCGACAAACTGGGCATCCATGCTACCAGCTTCAACGGATGGATCTTGGGAGAACATGGAGACACCAGTGGTGAGTGTGTGTGTGCGTACGTACGTACGTATATACAGTATGTGTTTATGGTTAATAATTAGGACTAATTAAAGAATACACATTCAGGAAGTCTGAAAACATGTGTTTTCCATTCAAATGTGCTATTGAATTCATAGACTATAAGTAGCAGTGACCCCATTCTTGAGGGTCACTGTGATAAAGGTGAGGGACAGAGATCTGTTCATCTTGGCTGTCTGGGGCCCTACAGGTCAAATGCAGCTGTTTTTATCCCAATATCAAATCATTTCTGGGTAACAATTAAGTACCTTACTGTAATTGTTTTCAATTAAAATGGTCAAAAATAAACAAAAATAGCTTCTTAGCAAAGACCAATTTTTAGGCAATAATTTTGCTAGGACTGTCTGGGAGTGGTCTGAGTGGGGAGGGGAAAACTAGCTGTTATGGGCAGAGGTTTGGAACTCTCTTTCTTATTGGTCTATTAACTAATTTACCGCCTGATGATGTCACTAGGCAGACCAAAACTCCCTCCCACCAAAACAGGCAGACATTTCAGGCGGTCTTTTCAAACATCTCTTACACTAAAAGGGCATTATCATCATTTTTACAATTTCACAGTATTATTACAACCTCAGTGTTGAAATACATATAAAACACAGGAAAATCAAGTTTTTTGACTGTACTGGGCCTTTAAGGAGATAACAGGTAATGAGGTTAAGTGTGTGTGTGTGTGTGTGTTCCAGTCCCTGTGTGGAGCGGCGCTAACGTAGCAGGTGTCAACCTGCAGACACTGAACCCTGACATCGGTACTGATGCTGACCAGGAGAACTGGAAGGAGACGCACAAACAGGTGGTTGACAGGTAACTATTAACGCTATTACGTTTGTTGTATACACTCTTAGAAAAAAAGGTGTTATCTAGAACCTAAAAGGGTTCTTCGGCTGTCCCCATAGGACAAATCAAATGTATTTATAAAGCCCTTTTCACATCAGCAGATGTCACAAAGTGCTTATACAGAAACCCAGCCTAAAACCCCAGACAGCAAGCAATGCAGATGTAGAAGCACGGTGGCTAGGAAAAACTCCCTAGAAAAGCAGGAACCTAGGAAGAAACTTAGAGAGGAACCAGGATCTGAGGGGTGGCCAGTCCTCTTCTGGCAGTGCCGGGTGGAGATTATAAGGGTACATGGCCATTAAGGCAGATTGTTCTTCAAGATGTTCAAACATTCATAGATGACCAGCAGGGTCAAATAATAAGTTATCCTATGGTGACAGCCGAAGAACACTTTTGGAACCCTTTTTTCTAAGAGTGTATTTGAGTCATTCTAACACCTGTAGTTTGGCTCTCTCACTGTAATAGAGTCCTGGATATATTGAGCTCAAGGGCACAACGGCAGTCTGCTCACTTCCACAGTATTTTTCCCGGTCAGCCCTGGGATTCGAACTGGCAACCCTCTGGTTACTGGCCCGCTTCTCAAACCTCAAGGCTACTCAAATTAAAAATGATAACTGTGTGTTCCAGTGCCTATGAAGTGATCAAGCTGAAGGGCTACACTAACTGGGCCATCGGCCTTAGTGTAGCTGACCTCACTGAGAGCCTCATCAGGAACATGAACAGGATCCACCCTGTCTCCACAATGGTGAAGGTGAGAGACACACACTCGATACACGTATGCACACATGCACGCACACGCACTCACACGTATGCACACACACTTGGCCTTGTGCCTTCTCACACCACTGGAGGTGTGCGGTTATTCCCTGACAACACACAGTCTGTCGTAAATGCTTACCCAACAGATATGTAACCGATAAACAAACAGGCATGTAGACATATACACAGCTATGCACAAAACTAAAGGAGATGATGCTGTTGCTCGACAGGGCATGTACGGGATCGATGACGAGGTTTACCTGAGCCTGCCGTGCGTGCTGAACGCTGGGGGCGTGGCCAGCGTGGTCAACATGACCCTGACGGACGACGAGATCGGCCAATTAAAACAGAGCGCTGACACACTGTGGGACATCCAGAAGGACCTGACTGACGTGTAGCAACTAACAGAACACCAAGGGGCGCCACACTCCACTCAACCAACCGGGGTGTGTCCCAATAATATCTCCTTTCTCCTCTAGTGTGCATTCGTTCGCTACTTCCCACAAATCTAAAATCAAGTGCACACTTTGGGAGCAAGAAGAGATAATTGGGACGTAGCCCCAACTCTCCTTATCACCTATTACACAACATATGCCACTTAGCAGACAGACGCTTTTATCCAAAGTGACTTACAGTACAGTGATTGCATACAGTTCTAATATGTGTATTTGATCCATGCGGGAATTGAACCCACAACTTTTGCATTGCTAGCCTCGCTCTGAAAGAGCAACTGCCCCTTAGAAAAACGTATAATTTAGAAAACAGCCTATGTGGCATCGATATGAGTCAGAATTGACGACAAAGAGTAAATAGGATAATTTTGGTCATAAAGTCAGTCTTGTCCAAAATTGAGTTTTGTGAGACTTGTGGTCGTGACTGCATCACAACGTAAATGAAAGTTGGGTTTGTTTCAATCCTGCCCACAGCTGGCAGTACACAATTAATCATCAATTCGGAGTGCAGCTGCACATGACCCAATCTTAATGCCAGTGGTAAATTTGGGTTTACTTTGGGTATCGATATTGGGCTAGTTAGGGACCATCAGTAAATTACACAATGTACATGGGACAAAATGTTAAGATTCCAATCGCTAAAAATGTCAATGACTTAAAAACCTCAAACCAACTATAAATTGTCGAAATTCATATATAAATATTGAAAGCATTTAATGAGAAAACTAAAAGGTGATGAATGAAAATATTGTCTCATTTACATTGTCATTTGTTGACAGTCCCTAACTATCCCCAGATATAGGCTATCCAAAGTAAAACCAACTTTGCCACAGTTGCACACCAGCTGGTTGAAGCTAATTGGCTAAATAATTTGGCTAACTCTTTCCACCTGCAAACACACACAACACACCCACATCAAACCACACCCGAAACCAACTCAAGTTTGAATTGAGACAAATGGTTAAAAAATGACACAGCTTCCAAAAATACACTTTCACAATGCCACTGCTGTTATCTTACACACTTGTAATCTTCTTAGCTTTCCTGGCATCTGGGTGTTTGGTCTCATGGTCAAGAGCATTAGGTGTCAGGGTTACTTTGCACATGGCTGCTTAACTGGAAAAGGGGCAGATTCAAGCGTCTTTGTTTCCATGAAAAGCGCTATATAAAAACCACGAAAAGTGCTAGGCTGTATAAAAAAACATGTATCATTCAGATGTGGGATCAACAAATTCTTCAGTCATTTTTCCCTTGTCAAAGTGAAGGATTATTTAAGGGTTGTTAATCATGTTGTTTGATGTGTAAAATAATAATAAAAAAATATTATTTATTGGTGTTGGAATGAATGAAGTCTTCTCTCAATTCTTTGTTTTAAAATGATTGAAACCATTATTAATCAACAATCATTTATTTGGTTCAGATTTAGAAGCATCATTGTTTGTCGCATAATGTATCTGTATGTTCATGATAATTTAATGCATGCATGTACAAACACATAATATACTATTTACAGCAACTTTAGTTTTTTTTCCCCATTCATGCTCAGATTGAGCTCTAGGGTGTCAAACATTGCAGGATGTCCTGGAGTGTCACAGTACTGTCCTAACAACACACATTATGCCGCATGCCCTCAGTCTGACCAGTAGAAACGTGTCTGTCATGTCATCCCACATCAGTGTGATGGGGCAACCTCTGTGAGGAGAATGTAAACATGGCCATCGTGTGACCATGGTGGCGTGGGTCTGAATGGTGTTCAGAGTGGTGTTACTGCTGTTAATTATGGTGGCGTGACTGTCTGGTGTCAGAGTTACTTTATGTAGCCTGGGGACAGGCCTATACGTTTTTTTCTAATCACCTCTGAGTTGACTGAGGGGAAACCCCTTTAAAAATGAGTCCAGTGGAAGACAGTGGCAATACAATTGGACATCATATCAAATATGTATATATTATATTATTACATAATTTCTTAATAAATGACGTTTGCTGCAAGTTATGGAATAATATAATTTTATTCAATGAGCTCAAAAATAACAAATTGGTATTAGATGCATCAACAGAACATATAAAGATGCTCACATTAACAAATCATCGTTCAACATAGTTGGTTTTCCACATTGGTTGGTCTTGAAAATATGTATCATCTGAGTTTTCCCTGGCTGGAAAGAAAACAAATGTATGACTGAGAAGAGCTGATGCAACCAGACACCAATCTGTGTTTTCACTGCGGGTCACTGAAGAGACACAACACACATAAAGACACATCAAGCAATATAATGTATAGAGACAAATACAATACACACATATTTAGCTGATTTGAAATTATGAGACAAATGTGCTATGGAGGAAGCTACAACGGAGAGAGAACCATGCTCATTGCTCACCTAAATGTAAAGAGTCCCCTTCTTTTCTTCCCTCTGTAACAAATTTGGACTGTCTTAAATATTTTGCTAAACTTTTCATTCAACTGGTGGGCCACTCCTTACACATACAGTTATCCAAATCCCTTTCATTTCTATAACTTTGGCAACAATAATGTAATTACATGTAAGTAGCCTTGCACGAACGAGCCGGAACGGCTCATATCTCCTGTTTCTGTAGCGCGATGCAACTTGACGTACAAGTACACACCCTGAACAGGACGCTAGTCTATCGCAGAGCCTAACCCCCAATCTTTCTCATTAATGCTGAGTGCCAAGCAGAGAGGCATTGGGTCCCATTTTTACAGTCTTTGGTATGACTCGGCAAAGGGATCGAACTCCCAACCTTCCAAACTCAGGGCGGACACTCTAACCACAAGGCCACTACATACTAATTAAAAACATTCACATATGAAACAAATGCATACATAATTGTATTGCCTAACGATAAGGGCAACCGTAGACATTACACAATCACTTTATGCATGAAAAGGGAAAGATCTTTCTTACGCGCGCCTTTTAAGTACAGCATCGCCTGAGGAGTCCAGTTTCTCCGCTGAAACCAAGTACAGACAATACATGTGTTATTGTAACTTATATTCAATGCTCTTTCAATCAACCAAAATTCTAGTACTGAGCGGTCTGTAGCCTGTGCGTAAAATGTGGTTACCTGTGGCGCGCTCCAAGAATGAGACACCATTGTCACCAAGAGTAGCGCGAGTGTGAGAGTCGTTGAGGTCTGAAAACTCTGTAACAAGAAAATGTCGTTGTCTTTATATCATGAAGTATTTTATGAGGAAACGTTTTTGTAGGCTACTGTAAACTGGATTGGTTGAACATTGTTACACAAGAGAACCTCCCCGAAACGTATTTTTATATATTTATCAGCACCCTGACAAACCAATATGTACGTAAAAGTGTACATGTCCCCACAAAACGATAATTGAATAATCATACCATTGTTACTCTTTCAACCACCAGTTATTAATGAAAATAACATTCAATAATGTATTGTTAAGCCTAGAAGAGTTATCCGATACAGTATATCAAAGCACATCATTATCGCTATATTTAGCCAAATATTTTACTTACTTTCATTTCTATAAGATGTCTTTCTTCAGTTGCTCTCTATTAGAATATGGTATTTGCATCTACAACAAGTCGTTGGCTTCTTATTAACTGTCCCTGGTCCCCATTAGTCATGAACTGGGTACTATATGGGGACATATTCCTTCGCACCTCGTGCGTAAATACGTAAGCCACCGTGGGCTAACTGCGAGGTGCTGTTCAAACTGTCATCACTCTTGAGACAGAAAGTTAATCCACGGGATCGAAATATCTGATTCAGAGTTAAAAGTTTGCAAATAATAGTTCTTTTTTTCGGACCAACTCTTCCATGCATCTTGGACACTATCACATCAATGCCGTTATGGAAAGACACTAAGATGTGATATTTCGACCTCTCTGAACACAGGATTTTCATTACATAGAAAACATAGAGCATGTTACGAATTCCCTGACAGTTGGTGACTTATCAGCCTCACAACCCTGAGCTGCCCACTCCACTCCACATTCCCCACAACCAGAGCCTTATTTAGGGGGTACCATAAACCTGCCTTGCAAACTCTCTCTAGCCCCGTTTATACCTGGTGCTAACATGGGTCCTTTGTCCTGATCTTGTCTACATTCTGATTGTGGCCACATTTCCAGAAATATGTCTACGCATCGTATTAAAATGTGTCTGTTATCAGTCCACTGTGTCTGCATTGTGACCAGATATCCTGGTCCCTTCCTTTATGCAAATGATGGTGTGCATGCCCAAAGTGAGTTGTGTGACATGTATATATTGTTCTTAATCGTTGGTTGTTGCATTATGTATGTTGCCTCTATATAGCTTGTACCCTGTAAACGTTCAGGGATTATATGCTATTTATACAGTCTTATTTTGGTTACTGCTCGTGATATATGTACAGTATATTCATTGCCTTTAATTTCCTTCTACAGAACCACTAACTTCCCATTTTTCATCCCCATTTACATCTTCGTCAATGTGTATAAATGAAGTTCCCTGTGTGTGTCAACTATGTCAGCAAATACGTAGCGCCGGGTCGCTCTCTTTCACAGCATGTATAACCTGTGTTCACTGGATTACACCGTGTGCTCTTCCTAATGATCACGGGTGTATTCTAACCACTCTAGGCTCTGGTGCATGAGACCACAAAATGTGACACTTCCCACACGCTCGAGGTGTGAATGCCTGTTATTTGACCCCGAAGACATCGTTAGTTTGACGAGGGAGACACGTTTCTGTTTGAGAATGTGTGGACCCAAGGGCGGTTGATCAATGTTTTGAGTTTTTTCTGCTTCTTCTCCATAATTACTTCCTATTCATATTTTCTCAGAATGAATACATTGTTATTATTATACATTGGCATTGAGGCAGGTGGATGAGTAATGTTTTCACAAGTTGTCTGCGTTCAATTTGCAAATCTAGACATTTCCTTGAATGTCCTATTTCAAACTACAGGTAACTGCCAAAATAAAGGAAACACCAACATCACGTGTCATAATAGGGCATTGGGCCACCACGGGCCGCCAGAACAGCTTCAATACTTCAACAGCTCCTTGGCATAGATTTAACCTTACGTAGCCAGGCGAAAAAAAACCACCTGAAACTAAATCCCCCACATTCTGGTCTTGACGAGAATTTTTAATAAAAAACGTTTCGGGGAGGTTCTCTTGTGTACCAATGTTCAACCAATCCAGTAAATGTGAAGGAGTTAAGATGGAGTGTCGGCTTGTTAACGTCCAAAAGCGGAAGTCACATCACTGGCTTGCTCCTCCATTTCCCCTGAAAACCGGAGGCTAGCATTGAAGTGTCTGGAACTCTATTGGAGAGATGCGACACCATTCTTCCACAATACATTCCATAATTTTGTGTTTTATTGATGGTGGGGAAAACGGTCTCAGGCGCCGCTCCGGAATCTCCTATAAGTGCTCAATTGGGTTGAGATTTGGTGACTGACACATACACACACACACACACCCTTTAATCCCCCTATGCTCCTTTGAGACCCCTCTTTCAAAAGTCACAGATATTTTCTTCAAGTCATGGTATCCAAAATAATGGGCAACTGGGCTTTTTTTTTATTTATACATGACCCTAAGCATGATGGGATGTTAATTGCTTAATTAACTTAGCAACCACACATGTGTGGAAGCACCTGCTTTCACTATACTTTGTATTCCTAATTTACTCAAGCGTTTCCTTTATTTTGGCAGTTACCTGTCCATCACTAGTTTTTAAAGCAGCATTGCCTGATCTTTTAATCTACATTAGTCTTCTGAATTTCATGTGTTAAAACAAATTTGCCTGACAAACATTTTATTTATTTATTTTAAAAACACACCATTTTAAGTATGTATTTACAAAAGACACATTGAGTAAAACATCTCTCTGACAAGCCTCTTAATACATTAAGTAGAAAGTGACTCGTAAAGCCCAGCTGCTGTGAGACCAGCAGTATCTGGGCTGTAGAGACACATCTGTAGCACTGGATGCATTCCTTTTAGCATCCAGATTTTCACTTTAGGAAGGAATAGTTTAAAATGTGTAAATTCAACTCACCCGGTGTCCTGGACGAGCTTAAATGAATGTACCCATTTGTGACCCATTGTGCGCACAGGGCTATTCATCTTCAACAGCTTAGTTTGACCATCCATAGGCAGGTGTGTATTTAGTGATGCAAAACTTTCTGAACATTGCAGATAGAAATGGATTAAATAGAGCTGACATAATTCCCTATCTGACAGAATCATATCTGTTCTACACAATACATTTCTATCTGAACATTCTGTAACGCTACATCCTCCTGAACAGTACCCAGGTGTAACACAACTGTACTCTAAACAGCTGTACAACAATTCCAGAAACTCTTCATCATCAAGGTAACCAAAACACTCTTCTCTGTGACTGTACAGACAACATTCCAGAACATTCTAGAAGAAGAAGAAAGGCTGCTGTAACAGATTCCAGACTCCTCCTCCATAACAATGCCCAATACAGTGGTTGGTCCAGTCACATGTCAATCATCTTCATAATCAGTCGATCAGGAACGGGCAGTGACACAAAAAGGGCCCAATTCACCTATTGGGCCTTGAAATAAAGTAGTCCCTTAGTAACAATGTCCATCAATGGCAACCAGGTTATGAGACCGTTTCCGTCAAAGCAAACTTTACGATGCCAGTCGTATTCATAAACCTGCCCAAAGGAACATTATTTTCCTTTGAACAGAAAGAGGTTTCTGATTCATAGCTTTGACCTTTACATGGGGGTAGTCTTGTCCAATAGTTGACCAGCAGAGAATAAAGTCACCAATATAAACTATTATAAATAGAGTAAAGCAATTTCATATCCTCCAATCCAAAGATGTTCACTGTTATACCATGTTGTTGCTCTCGCCGACTTTGTCCACCAACTGAAAAAGAGATACAAGTTTATTATCAGTAAACCACAATCTATCATTTAAGAGCGGTTTGCCGGACACAGATTAAGCCTAGTCCTGGACTAAAAAGCAAACTCAATTAAGAATCTTAATTGAAAGTGTTTTTGTTGTTGTCCAGGTCTAGGCTTAATTTGTGTCTGGAAAACTGGCCTCTAGAGACGAAGGGCAATGGTGCAAGGCGCAAAGAGCCGGAAACAGCTGACTTTGGCAAGTCTATGAACTTTGCCACGTTACACATGGCAAATAAACTTGAAACTTGATACTTACTCCACTAATCCCTGGGAGGTTCAGTATGGACCCGAGGACAGGCAACCTCCTGATGAAGCCTACTGCCACTGGGAAGAAGCCCCTGGAAAAGAGAAGAGAGTGGAACAGAGAGGTGAGAGACTAAGGAGGACCGGCAATAGACTGACATTTGGGGTGAATCTCAAAAGTAATTTCCTTGATTTTTCAAATCCTGTCCCCTCACCTACTTCACAAAATGTTAGAGGGAAGCGAGGAGAGCACTGGAGAAGAAGATCTGAAGTTCCTTCTCCAATGTTCTCCTTGCTTCTCTGTGAGGTTTTGAGAATGGAGGCGAGGAGAGAGGAAGCAGGGAATCGAGGGAAAAAACGTAGGCAAATATTTTAACCAACTGTCATTTCAGGCCAACTGACCTGAATAAGAGGAAGAAGCCATAGATCTCCAGCACTACTCCAATGATAGGCCAGCCAATCAGAACCACCAGCACGCCCCCCAGGAAGAAACTGGTGGCTTTAAATTTATGTCTCTGGAAGAAGAATTTGAAGGTACGCTCCAAGCCGATGACAAAGGATAGGCCTGCTACAAACAATATCTGACACACAAACACAGGGGTGAGAAATAAACAGAGGATTTTAGGAATCCCATGACAGTATGCTGCATCACTAGCCTGGCGGCAGCCAAATTGATTTAGCTACAGTTCACCGTTGTTTCACTTCTACAACAGTGAAACGTAGTAGTGAAAGCATTTTGGTTGCAAGGCTAGTGCAGTACAGTATGTCTTTTGACTTCATTTAGCTATGTAATCTACTGGAGGACACATACCAAAAACACCAGCTAGACACAGTGGTCTGATCAGAGACACTGCTAGTACTAGTACTGTAGATTAGGAGGCAGTGCAATACAACAGAGAATCATCATAGGCCTCCACAACCAGGGCCTACAATTAACAGATTTTGTCATTGGCGGGTAGAATGTCTAATTCACCAGCCATGTTGGCAGGTGGTCACACTCAGGGATCTATAGTGTGAGGATTTCATAAGAAGAGTCAAAAGTCAAGTATGAGCACATGCGAGTTGTGTCTTATACTATTGCAAAAGAAATGCTGCAGTAGCTGTTTTCAAAGTATTTCTGCCATTTTGTTTTAATATCTGGTAATCACACAAAAAAACTCACCTCGCACAGCAACACTGCCTGGCTGGGGGGCCGTGCGCACTAAGTGAAGTGCTGAAAGATTTGTTTTTAGAAGAAATGTGCACAGGCATAAAATTGGCCTAATTTACTCAAAAGCCTACTAAAGTGAGACTTTGTCTTCGTGTTTATTGGCTATTTACATTATTTTGTTCACATGCTAGGTTTTTTAACGCTTGAGTTTGCTTCTAGTGCTAGCGAAGAAGAAAAGTCCTCGGCTACTAGTCAGATTCTCTGGAAACGCTCTTTTCACGCCACTTTGATACCGAAGTGACTCTTTCGTAGCAGATTAGGAGAATTTACGTAGCAGGTTAGGAGAATTAACATAGCAAGTTAGGAGACTGAGGTTAAGGTTAAGGAAAATGCTCTCCTAACCCGCTATGAAAATCACTTTGTATCAAAGTGGCATGAAAAGAGTGTGGGCTCATTTGAGTGGTAAGGCGAAAGCAACCCACTGCAAACGAAAGTCGAGGAGTGTAGTCAGGGGAGGTGCATCTGCAACAGCCAAAAGTCAGACACTAATGTGGTTTTCAACATGGCTGCTATTGTTTATCAAAGTCTGTCTGTATACATGTCAAAATAAAATTTTCTATACCCCCATATCACACACTCACAAACTGTATACAACAATTCATTGGTTAGAGAGAGGTCTCAAATATCACTTTCATTTGTATCCCCTGTAGCTTTAAAATATGGCAAAGTTGGTTCCTGTTTCAGTCATATATTTGGCCACACTTGCATGAGTCAAATAAAAACACCCTAATGATTGGTTGGCAAATAGTGCCCCCCACAATGCAGGTGATAGCTGCTGCATGGTGCAGTTGGTGAGAAGCAACTGCAGCGACTTCATCAAAAACTGCATGACCTTTCATCACGATTTTTGTAAAGTTGATGATGTTGACATGAAGTCGCAAGCCCGACAATTTTTATAACCATACTGCAACACACTTTGAAAGGCAGTGACCAACGATGGTCAATTACTTGACAAAAGTGATAAGCTTGAACTTGCCCTGTCCCTCAGATTCTCACAGGCACTGCACATGTGATGACTGGAGTGGCCCCATTACCATAGTAACCTTAAAGGGGCAGCTGAACATTTCTCTCATCTGTGATATTTTGGTTAAAAGACTCAGGTCACAAAATATTTTAATTACATTGACAAATATACCACATTACTTCTTACTAGTAATACATTTCTTGTTTTACAAACATTACTATGCATGCTCATCCGTTTCATTTTGTGTGTGTGTGTGTGTTAATAGGGCTGTGACGATACCATCGCAATATTCTTTCCATGGCAAAATGAACACACAAAGCAGAGCAATCTCTTTCTGTATGTAAAATATTGTGTACTATAGCTTGGAAAATAAATACACGTGACTCGGAATGACAACATAATGATGTTTGTTTCCAACAAGATGTGAAATCTGCTTCGTGTTTTGTTTCCTTGCCACTTCATACTAACGAGTATCGCGATACTGGTATCGTCCCAGCCCTAGTAAAATATATCATCTACCTGCTACAGTGGCTGGTAGATAAAAAGGTTCGTTTTAGGCCCTGTCCACAACTCTAGCTAAAAGGGTTTTTCCAGAGAGTAAGTATGCGTTTAAGGAAGCGGCACCACCGTTGAAACATAATTTTTGGTAGTGAGTGGAAACGCCAAGTGGATCCTTCACATTTATATGTCCAGTGAAATATCGTGGTCCTCTGTAGCTCAGCTGGTAGAGCACGGCGCTTGTAACGCCAAGGTAGTGGGTTCGATCCCCTGGACCACCCATACACAAAAATGTATGCACGCATGACTGTAAGTCGCTTTGGATAAAAGCGTCTGCTAAATGGCATATTATTATTATATTATATTATTATATCTGTCTCATTGTTCTGTGTCAGAACTATTGAGGGATGCGAACATGGGCGAGCCTAACATGGGAAAGCTGAACTTAATTCAAATCCTCCGCGATATCGCGACGCAAGTGACCAATCGAAGCTCACCATAGCTTCCAACCCCTACTGGATTGGCTGACAATGGCTGTTGATATTTAGCATTATCTAGCATGCTTGTTAGCACCCACATGAGGGCGAGGCTAGCGTGCCTAGATTAGTTCCGCTTATAGTGTAAACGCCAGTCCCGTAGAGCATTGCAACGCCAGGGTTGTGGTGGGTTCGATTCCCACGGGGGACCAGCATGGAAGAAAAAATAAAAAGTATGTGTGCATTCACTACTGTAAATCGCTCTGGATAAGGGCGTCTGCTAAATTAGTAAAATGTAAAAGGCAGGAAAAGGGGTATGTTACATTTGGGATCATTCTTGTAAAGAAAGGAGATACACGTAGCGGGGCATCTATGGCATACATCACAACATTATGATTATGTAGTAGGCTCACATTTCCAATGGCAAGAAGAGCTTTGTCAAAAAACAGGATCATCCCGAAGAGGAGGAAGAACACGCCAAAGCCTGTCAACCCCATCCCGATTTCTGTGGAGCCAAAAGAGAAGTCAATAGATTAAAGTCAAACTAGCTACATTGTTTCCATTGACACCTAAAGCATCCATCCATATACTCTTGTCTGCACATCCGTTACTTTATTAGCAGGAGTAGGTAAGTAACTAGTTATCTACCATGATATGACTAGCAGTGAAATAAGTTAATAATAGGTCGTTCATAAAATAGGGCGATGGGCCCAACTGGTCCCATTCATTCCAATCCTGGCTAGCTTGAAGGATTGCTCACAAAGAGAAGATACAACAACGCTTTAAACATGTCATTTTAAAATTAAAAGCTCTTACTCTGTGAATCCGTTAGAGATATCATTTTGTCGGAAGTGTAGCGATTGGCAAATCACTTGTCCTCATTCAATAATCGTTAGATAGCGGTAGTTTGTTGATAGCCGAGAAAAAGCTGGCGCCACGTCTTCTTCCGTAACCACGCACGCTCAAATGAGAGGTTCGCGGGAATCAGTTCTGCGTGGTGTTGCGTAGAGATTTTGTTTGAATAAAATAAGTAAAGATATTGTGGGATGTGTATTGCTATTTGTGAACAGAGATCTGTATATAATCCTTCACCCCAACAAAATTCTGCCAGGACTCACTGAAATTGTGATTTCTTTTAACGTTACATCGCCATCTTTATGGGAAATGTGGTTCTCTGCTTGAAAAGTAAAACTACTACAACATCCATGCGTACGCAATCCGGAAGAGTGCAGCCGGAGACGTGTTCAAGGAAATAGTCGATTCGGATTTTATATATAATTAGAGCAGAAAACCTCAGTGTTTACACAATGTCCTCGTTAGGAATACTCGTAGGTTATTTTCTGCCATATTTTTCCCCAATAACTACAAACATTAATAACATTTTTGCAGTACTTCTTGTTTTTGTTGGGTGCTGCAGCAATGTTGTGTTTCTGGAAATGCTTGTAAGGTCAGTGATCAACTCTGAACTCCTCAACAAGAACTATTGACAACTAGGCTACTAGCTTGGTTGAATGAGGTTAGCTACATCTTTAGAATATTTATGCATGCTTTGTTTATATAGGCCTAACTAAGATGCTGTAATGCTTAACATACAATAATCTATTATTTAGGCTAGCATATTTCCTAATAATTAATGCTATTCATGCACTTTTATATATTTTCCTACTCCCAGAGAGTTCCCAGGATGTGGCAACATTGTGACCTTCGCTCAATTTGCCTTCATTGCATTAGAGGGGTTCATCTTCGAGACGAACTTTGGAAGAAAGAAACCAGCCATCCCTATGAGGTAGGTAGCCTAATGCAGTGGTTCTCAAACTGTGAGGGAGGGGGTGGGGGGGGGTGCATAATCAGTTCCTCTTGTCATGCTAGTCATTGCATACCTTGGAGAGTTATTTATAACTTGTCAGAAATGGCCAGGTCAACTAGTCCATGGCAGCTAACGTTTTTTTATTTAGGTTTTTTAGTTCATACATATTGTTGTAATTTTTTAGTGACTGAAATACACATGAATACACAATAGACATGGAAAAATGTATAGAATTGCACGTAAATTTGCTTTAAAACTGCACAATGTTCTTTGCACCCCATGACAAAATGTGTAGAATTGCAGGAAATAAGCGTTAAACCTGCACAATTCTCTCCACCAACAAGAGGGGTATGAACAGTTTGTGTCATGAACCGTGCTTGTGCCTATATACAGTGGGGAAAAAAAGTATTTAGTCAGCCACCAATTGTGCAAGTTCTCCCACTTAAAAGATGAGAGAGGCCTGTAATTTTCATCATAGGTACACGTCAACTATGACAGACAAAATGAGAAAAAAAAATGCTGAAAATCACATTGTAGGTTTTTTAATGAATTTATTTGCAAATTATGGTGGAAAATAAGTATTTGGTCAATAACAAAAGTTTCTCAATACTTTGTTATATACCCTTTGTTGGCAATGACACAGGTCAAACGTTTTCTGTAAGTCTTCACAAGGTTTTCACACACTGTTGCTGGTACTTTGGCCCATTCCTCCATGCAGATCTCCTCTAGAGCAGTGATGTTTTGGGGCTGTCGCTGGGCAACACGGACTTTCAACTCCCTCCAAAGATTTTCTATGGGGTTGAGATCTGGAGACTGGCTAGGCCACTCCAGGACCTTGAAATGCTTCTTACGAAGCCACTCCTTCGTTGCCCGGGCGGTGTGTTTGGGATCATTGTCATGCTGAAAGACCCAGCCATGTTTCATCATCTTCAATGCCCTTGCTGATGGAAGGAGGTTTTCACTCAAAATCTCACGATACATGGCCCCATTCATTCTTTCCTTTACATGGATCAGTCGTCCTGGTCCCTTTGCAGAAAAACAGCCCCAAAGCATGATGTTTCCACCCCCATGCTTCACAGTAGGTATGGTGTTCTTTGGATGCAACTCAGCATTCTTTGTCCTCCAAACACGACGAGTTGAGTTTTTACCATAAAGTTCTATTTTGGTTTCATCTGACCATATGACATTCTCCCAATCCTCTTCTGGATCATCCAAATGCACTCTAGCAAACTTCAGAGGGGCCTGGACATGTACTGGCTTAAGCAGGGGGATTTGAGTCCCTGGCGGCGTAGTGTGTTACTGATGGTAGGCTTTGTTACTTTGGTCCCAGCTCTCTGCAGGTCATTCACTAGGTTCCCCCGTGTGGTTCTGGGATTTTTGCTCACCGTTCTTGTGATCATTTTGACCCCACGGGGTGAGATCTTGCGTGGAGCCCCAGATCGAGGGAGATTATCAGTGGTCTTGTATATCTTCCATTTCCTAATAATTGCTCCCACAGTTGATTTCTTCAAACCAAGCTGCTTACCTATTGCAGATTCAGTCTTCCCAGCCTGGTGCAGGTCTACAATTTTGTTTCTGGTGTCCTTTGACAGCTCTTTGGTCTTGGCCATAGTGGAGTTTGGAGTGTGACTGTTTGAGGTTGTGGACAGGTGTCTTTTATACTGATAACAAGTTCAAACAGGTGCCATTAATACAGGTAACAAGTGGAGGACAGAGGAGCCTCTTAAAGAAGAAGTTACAGGTCTGTGAGAGCCAGAAATCTTGCTTGTTTGTAGGTGACCAAATACTTATTTTCCACCATAATTTGCAAATAAATTCATTAAAAATCCTACAATGTGATTTTCTGGATTTTTTTTTCTAATTTTGTCTGTCATAGTTGACGTGTACCTATGATGAAAATTACAGGCCTCTCTCATCTTTTTAAGTGGGAGAACTTGCACAATTGGTGGCTGACTAAATACTTTTTTCCCCCACTGTAAATAGATGTGGCGCAGGGGGGCACAGGAGGTTCCCCAGCGCTGTAAAGGTGGCCCCAAGTGAAAAAGTTTGGGAACCCCTTGCCTAATGTATGAGAATGTAGCTACAGTGATGGAATTATTGAGCTGTCTGTCTGTCCTCTCGCCTGTCCGTCTGTCTCCCAGTCCTGTCAGGGATGAGAAGCACAGTTTTCATTCAACCTTTGTGTTTATTTCTTCTTCATAGCAACTATGTAATCATGGTGACCATGTTCTTCACAGTCAGTGTGATCAACAACTATGCTCTCAACTTCAATATCGCTATGCCTCTACACATGATCTTCAGATCTGTAAGTCTACTGTTATAAATGCTCAAATGGCTTTAACTCTCACCATCTGATGCTTGTAGTACCATTAATTACCAACATCTAATAATATCCCTTCTTGGTTGACTTAATGCCTTGTGTTGTACTTATATCTTCACAGGGATCGCTAATAGCTAATATGATCCTGGGTATAATCATTCTGAAGAAAAGGTATCCCCCTCATCATTTCTCTTGACTTGGCAGTCTTACAAACCCTTACCATTGTTAACATGTTACAGTTAATCTAGAGATGTTACTAATTAGTTAGCCAAATTAATAGGATACTTTTGCCTCTCTGCAGCATGAGCTATAGCATCAAAGGAATGTATTGCTGCTTTTGTCACTATTTTGCATGATCATGATGACTGCTGCTGAAATGCCTAAAATGTCTGGCCTGGTCTGATTATCCAAAACATGAGGTTCTGAAACTATGTACTGCATATTTTCCCTGCAGGTATTCAATGAGTAAATATCTCTCCATAGCGATGGTGTCTCTGGGCATCTTCATATGCACCATCATGTCCGCCAAACAAGTGGTGAGCTCTTCATAACATTAACATGTTTCTGTTCAACCACACACTTTGTTTCCATATAATGTGCACTGTGGGTTGCAGCTTCAATGTCTAGTAGCTGAGTTTTCACACACATTTGTTACACAGTTATTACAATCTGTTACATACACAGTTATTACAATCTGTTACATACACAGTTATTACAATCTGTTACATACACAGTTATTACAATATGTTACATACACAGTAGTCAGTACATATTTGTTCATATTGTACAGAGAGATCTTTAACTGACTACACAACACAGTAAGATTTTGTGCTGTTACATTTTCTGCTATTTAGTGACCTCTGTTTTCCACTTTTCAGAATGTAGGTACTGAGGGCTCAGAGGATCAAGGTGTATATGCCTTCCTGCACTGGCTGATGGGTAAGTCTTCCATGGACTGTTACTGTTAGGTGTGTATATAGGCGTGAGACATGGAGTCTTCTCAGCCAGAAGTCTTTGTTCCAGAATGACTTGCATTTTTGATAATAAGATCTTTACCTTGCCTCGACTAGTTGGGACTACCTTTATCTGAGAACTGGACACTGATTGTTACGGTTGTTTACAAATGGTGGACAATGGCTTGAGATTAAAGAGCACACAACTCTGACTATCACACAAACCCTGCATTCATACTTATAGGAAATTACTCGATGTGACTTACAAGTCCCTAGTGCATAATCTATTCCATTCCCATTTTAACCTGATAATACAAGCTTATGGCACGGACACACCGGTAGGATTGTAGAGCGTCAGCTGGCCGAGAGTACTTAGCACCTCTGAACAGAGTGCTGGCAGTAATTTGCAAACCGATTCTACATGTAGAAATGGGCGAAAATGACGGCAGTCAGCAAGCGAACGAATGGTAAACGAACGGCCCCCTACTGGACAGACCGACAATCGGTCTGCTGAGTTTTCTCCTTAAACAAAACAACAAAACTCTCTCACTCTCTCTCTCCCTGTATGGTTACAGTATCCGTTTCTCAACCATGACACAACTCATTTTCTGGGTTTGTTGTTGTTTTTCTAGGTATCGCCATGTTGACCTTTGCACTGCTCATGTCTGCGAGAATGGGCATTTTCCAGGAGACCCTGTACAAGCAGTATGGTAAACACTCAAAAGAGGCTCTCTTCTATAATGTAAGTGTCAACCCCAAACTCCTGTATGCGTTCCAAACCTGCCAGATGTTGTATACTTGAAAGGCAAAGTAACTAACAAAAGCCATTGTAATTTATCCCCTGGCAATGGAGAGATTTTCTCACCAAACATAATGCTCCACCCTACAATTGTTGATCTATATTTGGTGCAAACCAAGTGTCTGCATTTTCAGTGTTGTGTGCACTGTGCATTGATAACAGGGTGTTTATATGAATACTTTACTCTATGTATGTATCGTCTCTGCAGTTCTAATATGTTTGTCATTGCTCTCTCAGCACTGCTTGCCTTTGCCTGGGTTCCTGCTTCTGTCCTCAGACATCTACAACCACGGTGTCCTCTTCAGTCAAAGCAGTGAGTTAAATACAGTCTAAGTTTTGTATGAAAACATGTCAAAGTATCCTCCTCATTGAGTAGAGTTCCCAGGTTTTTCAGAAATCCCAGTTGGAGGATTGATGGGAAAGGGCTTCACTAACCTCAATAATTTAAAGTTATGTCTGTTGGTTTCTTTGCTTAGCCTGGTTACAGATCTGTTTGTGCTGTCTTGACAATGACCATAGGAGTTGGCAAGACAGCACAAACGGATCTGGGACCAGGCTAGTCTTTGCTCATGTTATGAATGTTATGTTGAATTCACATTGTCACATTGTCCAGAGTTGGGCTGTAGCCTAAATGCCATTTGTCTTCCAGCTCCTGTAGAGATTCCTGTGATTGGCCAGGCTGTGCCGGTGTTGTGGCTGTACCTACTGCTGAACGTCATCACACAGTATCCTTTACAATACTTTCACAGTGAATACTGTATTTGTGTGTAGTCACTATAATAACTGGTTTTATTGTCACATACACGGGATAGGTGCAGTGAAATGTGTTGTTTTACAGTGTCAACCATAGTAGTATGACACCTCTGGAGCAAAGTAGGGTTAATTGCCTTGCTTAAGGGCACATCAACAGATTTTTCACCTTGTCGGCTCAGGTATTCGAACCAGCCGCCATGTTTAGGATTGGAAGTTGTCGATAGTTGTGCTGTAGCCTAAATTCGATTTTTCTTTCAGCTCCTGTAAATCTCACTTTCTCAGTAAACACTGTATGTGTAGTCACTGCACATAAATGGGTACGTGACTACACATACATCCCATTGGAAACTAATTAGACTAACCAGATCAGTACAAAAACAGTTTGTATACAGCTGCAAACAGACAACACACTGTTACTGACGTGTCTGTACACTAGAAGACGATGCACATTCACCTTACACATTGCAATGCAAACACACTCTCTCTCTCACTCACGCACACACATTTTAGACCCGTTTTTTTATTAAACACATACCATCATCCTCTACCAGACCTTCACCCTCCTCAGATATGTGTGCATCCGCGGTGTCTTCATCCTGACCACGGAGTGTGCCTCTCTCACCGTAACCCTGGTGGTGACTCTGAGGAAGTTCATCAGCCTCATCATCTCCATCCTCTACTTCAAGAACCCCTTCACCGCCTGGCACTGGGTGGGCACTGGAGTCGTCTTCCTGGGCACCCTGATCTACACGGAGGTCTGGACTAACATCTGCGCGGCACTGAGAGGAAGAGACGAGCTGAAGGAGAAAACTACGTAGTAATACACTGTAAAGACGGCGGAGTGATACGCAGCACTTTGGTCAATTCCTCGCATCCTCTCTCTTTGCCTCCTTCTCAAAACGAATTGGAGAAGATGGTCCGAGGGAGGAGGGGGGGGGGGGGGGGGGGGGGGGGGACCTGAGAACTTCTCCAATATGGTTGAGAAGGAGTAGAAGAAAGAGGATGCAGGGAATCACGGAAATACTAATTGAGATAAGAGTGCCTTTGACTGCACTGTTGTGTGTGTGTATACGGGACTACTTTTGTTGTGGGTGTGATTGCACACTCTGGAGCCTGTTTTCCCCCCTCGCGCTCTGCTCCAGTTGCAGAAGGACCAGGTTGGTTTTTAATAGAATAATTTAGGTTTTTCCTATTGTTTTCGTTGCTTGAACAATTACTTTAGAAAAGATGTCTTCCCACTAGGTTTCTCACTTAACCCATTTTAAGGGCATAACCTAGACAAAACCTACCTTGGTTGACTGAATAAGTCAAGGCAAGCTTTTTGCAAAACTGATTGTATGGAGATGCCCTACTGTTTTGTTCATTTTGTTTGTTTGGTGAGCTGTATTTATTTAGGTGTTTTGCTAAGTATGAGTTTTGCTGAGCTGAGAGTGAATAGTAGTGTCTGTCAACATGTCATTTAACACCAGAATAACGATTATACCAGTATACGGACAAAACATATTACTGTACTCTGATTAGCATCATTTTGAAATTCTAAATGACAAGAAGTGAGTTCACCACCTCGTCATGATATTAGTGAAACACAAAAGTGAAAAGTATTATGTATTCTGAATATGATATTTTATTGTAGGAATATTTCCTCAGGAGGATATTTGTCCTTTCAAAATAGTACTTGGCAGGTCCAGTAACTTTGTCATGAAACCCACCAAAACCTACACTCCAGAATCACTGCACCATTCATTCTCAACCTACTGAAATAAAAATGTAAAGATCTACCCTATACATTTGCATTGTATTGCATAATATGTTTCAAGCAGACCACCATAGTCCCTGTGCCCAAGAAAGAGAAGGTAACCTGCCTAAATGACTACCACCCTGTAGCACTCATGTCGGTAGCCATGAAGTGCTTTGAAAGGCTGGTCATGGCTCAAATCAAATGAAATGTTATTTGCCACATGCGCTGAATACAACAGGTGTAGACCTTACAGTGAAATGCTTACTTACAAGCCCTTAACCAACAATGCAGTTTTAAGAAAAATATGTGTTAAGTAAAAAAATTCGAGCAGCAGTAAAATAAAATAACAGTAGGGGGTACCAGTACAGAGTCAATGTGTGGGGGCACAGGTTAGTCGAGGTAATTGAGGTAATATGTACATGTGGGTAGCGTTAAAGTGACTATGCATAGATAATAAACAGAGAGTAGCAGCAGTGTAAAAGAGGGGGGACAATGCAAATAGTCTGGGTAGCCATTTGATTAGCTGTTCAGGAGTCTTATGGCTTGGGAGTAGAAGCTGTTAAGAAGCCTTTTGGACCTAGACTTGGCGCTCCGGTACCGCTTGCCGTGCGGTAGCAGAGAGAACAGTCTATGACCATTTTGAGGGCCTTCCTCTGACGTTGCCTGGTATAGAGGTCCTGGATGGCAGGAAGCTTGGCCCCAGTGATGTACTGGGCCGTATGCACTACCCTCTGTAGTGCCTTGCAGTCGGATGCCGAGCGTTGACCATACCAGGCAGTGATGCAACCATTCAGGATGCTCTCGATGGTGCAGCTGTAGAACCTTTTGAGGATCTGAGGACCCATGCCAAATCTTTTCAGTCTCCTGAGGGGGAATAGGCTTTGTCGTGCCCTCTTCAGACTGTCTTGGTGTGTTTGGACCATGATAGTTTGTTGGTGATGTGGACATCAAGGAACTTGAAGCTCTCAACCTGTTCCACTACAGCCCCGTCGATGAGAATGAGGGTGTGCTCATTCCTCTTTTTTTCCATGTAGTTCACAATCATCTCCTTTGTCTTGATCACGTTGAGGGAGAGGTTGTTATCCTGGCACCACACGGTTTTGTTTTTAAACGGAAGTCGTAGTTCAGTCGTGTCTCTTCCAAAAAAATAAGCGGCTGGAAGAAGTTGGAAGGAACACTGCAGACTTCACTCCGCTTTAGAGCATGGAAGAATCGATAATTGATAGATGTGCAGCTTGTGCCAAACACTTAACAGATTATTCAGATTGGAATGGCAAAGCGTGGAAACCATACCATTAAAATGAACTACAACTTCCGTTGACGAGCGTTTGGAGTAAGCGGTTTCTGTTACAAAACGTTTTAGAACAGACTAAACGTTTTGCAACAGAATCGGCGTAATGAATACACCCCAGGTACTTGCGGTTGTGTTTGGATGCGAGCTGTGACTGGGCCGTGTGGTCTCGGTTCAAAGACCAACGTTTTGGTGCAAGAATCTTCATAAAACCTGGTACAGATTTCTTGGTATCATTTTACGAACTCTGTACTGCAAGCATGGGGAGCAACAAGAGCAGCCACGTCTCGTTTGAAGACGAAGGTGACCAGGTTAATTTTGTGAAGGGCATTAGGGTGAGTGAGCACGAGATTAAGCTTGATTATCTACATGAAACTGAAACATTGTATCACTGAAATGATACGGTTATATTGCAGTTGTTTTCGTCGATATTTATGCAAAAATACTGAAACGCATCGAATTCTGCCAGGTCAGTACTTAAAAAAAAAACATTGCACAACGGTCTAGCATCCATGGGACGTCCCTACCCCATTGAAGTTTAAATTTAAAATGGTAAGTAAGGGTATGATAGGGTTTAGGGTATGGACTTCCCAAGGAATCTGGATAGCCCTAACCATTGCACAACCATTTGAAAACAATATGCTGCTAAGCCCCCAAATAGCCTAGTCTTTCCTGACTGTCCATGTTCAAATGGGCTGTATAGGCTACTGGCAAGCCCCCCCTGTGCACAAAGCGAGGTCCATACAGAAATGGTTTGTCGAGATCAGTGTGGAAGAACTTGACTGGCCTGCACAGAGCCCTGACCTCAACCCCATCGAACACCTTTGGGATGAATTGGAACGCCGACTGCGAGCCAGGCCTAATCGCCCAACATCAGTCCCTGACCTCAGTAATGCTCTTGTGGCTGAATGGAAGTAAGTCCCTGCAGCAATGTTCCAACATCTAGTGGCAAGCCTTCCCAGAAGAGTGGAGGCTGTTATAGCAGCAAAGGGGGACCAACTCCATATTAATATGAATAAGATGTCCAACGAGCAGTTGTCCACATACTTTTGGTCATGTAGTCTATCTATGAAGGAAGTTAGAGGTAGTTTTGCGAGCCAATGCTAACTAGCATTAGCGCAATGACTGGAAGTCTATGGGTATATGCTAGCATGCACGTTTAAACGTTCACACCCCTAGTTGAATGTGGCAAAAAGTCCTGCAGGTCGCATCCTAAGTATTTCTTTATATTCCTTTGGAAGTCAGGTAGGAGGATAATTTGGCCAATATGAACTGTGGGTGGTTGGCATTGATTAAGGACTGGGGCACGCCCAGCAGGAGATGTGGAGAGTGACAGAACCTGTGAGGGTGACCTCAGGTTACTTAGAGGTTAGTTAGTGTAGCTAGGTCATAGAGTATGACTAAGAAACATTGGTTGTTAGGGACATAGGCATAGCACAGCTCCACACACATACATTTGAAGATGATCCCTGGGCTTTGATCCAGGACCTCTATATCAGGCGATGTGAAAAGAAGGTCCGAAAAATCATCAAAGACCCCAACCACCCAAGCCATAGACTATTTTCTCTGCTGCCGCACAGCAAGAGATACCGGAGCACCAAGTCTGACACCAACAGGCTCTTGAACAGCTTCTATCCCCAAGCAATACGACTGATAAATAGCTACTGAGTTTGCAAGAAAGGCATTTCACTGTACATTAAAACTTGAAACAGTTAAAGGGTTGCAGAGGAGGTGGAGCTGTTCAAGCATGGTGTACAAAGACCACTACCTCACAGTCAACACCCAGCCACCATAAACGATCACATACAGCATGTTTTACCATCCTAAGGTGCCTCTTGTTTGCCATAAATGGCATATGTCCTTTTATGGATGTTGGGATTACTGCACAGTTTCCCAGACCAATGCATGAGCCACCCCAGCATTAAAGCTCATACTTCACATGTGAGTCCAGTTCAGGTGTCACATGGGCTGGCCAGCCATCCTTGGTAGCAATATAGGTTCTCGCTTGCAACGCCAGGGTTGTGGGTTCGATTCCCATGGGGGGCCAGTATGAAAAATGTAAGCACTCACTAACTGTAAGTCGCTCTGGATAAGAGCGTCTGCTAAATGACTAAAAATGTAAATGTAAATATGAGGGCATTTTGGCTGTTGAATGGCCTCCTGACAATGTGGCAGTCCAGTCCCATGGTGTCTCTGTCTCTAGAAACTGCCTGAAGGGAGGACTGAGGTGGAGTGGGCCTGCCAAGGACAGTTCTGGGAGATTCGGGATGGCATTGACATTGGAGAGGTGCAATTCCTATAACATGTGAAGGCCCACTAAGTTGATGGTGTTTCTTGTCAATGAGTGGCAGGTTGTGTTGGTTCATTCTAGTGAACACAAGGGCTGGGAATTGCCAGGGACCTCACAATACGATATTATCACGACACTTAGGTGCTGATACGATATGTATTGTGATTCTCACGATTCTATATGTATTGCGATTCGATACTGTGAATTTATTGTGATTTTGATATTCCAAACATATTGCTCACCATAGTCTGCTGCAGTGGGACCATGACGAAATGAGTTTGGATCAGTCATGGAAAGAAAAGTGCTCAAAACAAATGGGCTCCCTATTTAAAAAGAAGAATGAGAACAAGCTATGAAGGACAAATACTGGAGTTTTGGTGCAGGTACAGCAAACTAGCGTCAAAACAATACGATATGATATATCGTCAAAAATAATATCCCGATATGTAACTATCCTTTTTTTTTTTTCTCCATCACTAGTGAACACTTGCCTTATGCACTTGTCATGAGTGGTTGCATCCTCCCCATACACCATAGCTGTCAACATGTACGGTAACTCCAGGGCAGACAGCCAGGATGATGGAGCAATGTGCCAGCTCAACCCGAACAGGATAAGAGTGCCCCCGGAACATCCCAATGTGCATCACAAATGCAGTGAGCCAGTGGAAGGTCATGTTGGATTCAGGCAGACGTAATGAATCAAAGCTCACTTCTAAATAATGAGGTGACTTAAGTTACACCACAGTGGGGGCAAGTTGTAGAGCTGGGGAGAGGGTGTCAGAGCCCAGGGTTGGATTTTCTTTCCTTTCGTTGGAGCCCCTCCCAGTTGCCTCATTGATCCTCAGAGGTTTGTGACTTAGAATACTTGGTGTTGCCATGCCAAGCAGTCTGCTACCTTTTTATTTATCCAGACAAAGGTGTTTAAGTGTATATGGTGGGTATATTGGATTCCTAACATAGTGAAGTACACAAAAATAGTATTTAGTACAGGTCAAAAGTGCAGTACACATCTGAAACATGTCTGTCATTTAAAACACGTACACATACAGGTGATTAAACCACAATATAATGGTAATGTGGCAGCCATATTGGATTTGGAGTCAAATGTAGGGGGGGGGGCCTAATTGCAAGAGTAGGGGCTAAATACACTGAACAAAATATAAACGCAACATGTAAAGTGTTGGTCCCATGTTTCATGAGCTGAAATAAAAGATCCCAGAAATGTTATATACACACAAAAGCTTATTTCTCTCAAATGTTGTGTACAAATTTGTTTACATCCCTGTTAGTGAGCATTTCTCCTTAGCCAAGATAATCCATCCACCTGACAGGTGTGGCATATCAAGCACATGATTAAACAGCATGATCATTACACAGGTGCACCTTGTGTTGGGGACAATAAAAGGGCACTTTAAAATGTGCAGTTTTGTCACACAACACAATGCCACAGATGTCTAAAGTTTTGATGGAGCATGCAATTGGCATGCTGACTGCAGGAATGTCCATCAGAGCTGTTGCCAGAATGTAATGTTCATTTATCTACCATAAACCGCCTCCAACGTCATTTTAGAGAAATTGGCAGTATGTCCAACCGGCCTCACAACCACAGACCAAGTGTAACCATGCCGGCCCAGGACCTCCACATCCAGTTTCTTCTCCTGCGAGATTGTCTGAGACCAGCCACCCAGACAGCTGATGGAGGAGGATTTCTGTCTGTAATAAAGCCAGTTTGTGGGGAAAAACTCATTCTGACTGGCAGGGTCTGGCCCCAAGTGGGTGGGCCTATGCCCTCCCAGGCCCATCCATGGCTGTGCCCCTGCCCATTCATGTGAAAATAATAGATTATGGCCTAATTTATTTATTTCCATTGACTGATTTCCTTATATGAACTGTAAGTCAGCAAAATCGTTGAAATTGTTGCATGTTGCGTTTATATTTTTGTTCAGTGTACACTACCGGTCAAAAGTTTTAGAACACCTACACATTCAAGGGATTTTCTTTATTTTTACTATTTTCTACATTGTAGAATAATATTGAGGACATCAAAACTATAAAATAACACATATGGAATCATGTAGTAACCCCAAAAAAAGTGTTAAACAAATCAAAATATATTTTATATTTGAGATTCTTCAAATAGCCAAATCAAAAAATCTAATCACATTTATTGGTCACATACACATGGTTAGCAGATGTTATTGCGAGTGTAGCAAAATGCTTGTGCTTCTAGTTCCGACAGTGCAGCAATATCTAGCAAGTAATATCTAACAGTTCCACAACAAAACCCTAATACACACAAATCTAAGTAAAGGAATGGAACAATAATATATAAATATATGGATGTCATTATCAGAGTGGCATAGGCTAAGATGCGCAACAGTTGGAGGCGTGCCACCCTTTACCTTGATGACAGCTTTTCACACTCTTGGCATTCTCTCAACCAACTTCACCTGGAAGCTTTTCCAACAGTCTTGAAGGAGTTCCCACATATGCTGAGCACTTGTTGGCTGCTTTTCCTTCACTCACCGTCCGACTCATCCCAAACCATCTCAATTGGGTTGAGGTCAGGGGATTGTAGAGGTCAGGTCATCTGATGCAGCACTCCATCACTCTCCTTCTTGGTAAAATAGCCCTTACACAGCCTGTAGGTGTGTTGGGTTATTGTCCTGTTGAAAAACAAATGATTGTCCCACTAAGCCCAAAGCAGATGGGATGGCATATTGCTGCATAATGCTGTGGTAGCCATGCTGGTTAAGTGTGCCTTGAATTCTAAATAAATCACAGACAGTGTCACCAGCAAAGCACACCATAACACCTCCTCCTCCATGCTTTACGATGAGAACTATACATGTGGAGATCATCCGTTCACCCACACCGCGTCTCACAAAGACACGGCGGTTGGAACCAAAAATCTCAAATTTGGACTCCAGACCAAAGGATACATTTCCACCGGTCTAATGTCCATTGCTCGTGTTTCTTGGTCCAAGCAGGTCTCTTCTTATTATTGGTGTCCTTTAGTAGTGGTTTCTTTGCAGCAATTCGACCATGAAGGCCTGATTCACACAGTCCCCTCTGAACAGTTGATGTTGAGATGTGTCTGTGACTTGAACTCTGTGAAGCATTTATTTGGGCTGCAATTTCTGAGGCTGGTAACTCTAATGAACTTATCCTCTGCAGCAGAGGTAACTCTGGGTCTTCCATTCCTGTGGCGGTCCTCATGAGAGCCAGTTTCATCATAGCGCTTGATGGTTTTTGCGACTGCACTTTAAGGAAACGGACTTAGCCCCCCCCCACACACACACACACACCTTGTCACAACACAACTGATTGGCTCAAACACATTAAGAATGAAAGAAATTCCACAAATGAACTTTTAAGAAGGCACACATGTTAATTGAAATGCATTCCAGGTGACTACCTAATGAAGCTGGTTGAGAGAATGCCAAGAGTGTGCAAAGCTGTCATCAAGGCAAAGGAAGGCTATTTTAAGAATCTCAAATATAAAATATATTTAGATTTGTATAACAATTTTTTGGTTACTACATGATTCCATATGTGTTATTTCATAGTTTTGATGTCTTCACTATTATTCTACAATGTAAAAATAAAGAAAAACCCTTGAATGAGTACGTGTGTCCAAACTTTTGACTGGTACAGTATATATTTGCCGCCATCTCAGTGAACTAATACATTGCGGAGGCATAGACTACAAGCCAATTTATGCTTGATCCGAAAATGTGGTCGGAGGCTCCAAAAGGAGGGTGTGACTCAAATGCGGAGCCTCCAGAGGCATGCAGGGGCCAAATCGAGCTCTGTACCGCATCGCCATGCCCTCCCAAATTTTGTAATAATGCAGAGGACTCTGTATAGCTCCGCATTGAAATTATTGGTTGACGGTGGGGGCGGTACATCCTGTATAAACACAAACTCACTTCCTCAAAATATGTCCAGCTCTCTCCCTTTCATAACCACTCAGAGTGAAAGCAAAAAAAGTAATGCTCTTATCCAGTGGAAACGTCAGAAAATAGGCCTACCTGATTACTTCTTATCAGTGGTTGACTTGGACTGAAATAGGTTCCGGTACTCATTTTGGGTTTATATTTAGGTGCAGGAGCTCCACAATACTTTTGAGCTAACATTCTATAAGAGAGCAGGAGCTCAAGCAGTAGAAATTTGAGCTGCCGGTACTCAACTCCTGTGAGCTCCTGCCCAAGTCAAGCACTGCTTCTTAAAGGCTATTTTCACATATTTACATTACATTTTAGTCATTTAGCAGACGACGCTCTATCCAGATGCGACTTACAGGAGCAATTGAGGGTTAAGTGCCTGTCAAGGGCACATCGGCAGATTTTTCAACCTAGTCGGCTCGGGGTATTAGGACCAGCGACCTTGTCGGGTTACTGGCACAATTGCGCTCTTAACCACTAAGCTACCGGCCGCCACATAGTTGGGCAATGGCAAATAGAAAGTTACTTTTTAGGTTTGTATCATTTTCATTTAGATTTGGATATAATTTTGATTAACCACGTGACCATGATTTTGAGATATGAAGAAGTTATTATAAATTAAATTAAAGTTTCACGAAAATGTGCATATGAAAACCATAATTGGCACGCAGATCGGTAGAAATGGTAAGATACATTGGCATTCAACATGAGAAAGGTTGCCGACTCCTCGTGTAGCCTATTACTGGCAACTTCAGGAGAGTAACGGCAGAATCTGCGAAACACCAGCCAGTCAGCGGGAGGAGAATAGTTGGGTCAGGTTAAGTTTTTTTTGCTGACAGGACAGGTCAAAGTAAAATGGATAATCAGGCTTCTCACAACTGCTGTCCAGGAGTTTCACCTCGTGGGCTAAATTGTCATGATCAGTGGTTTTAATTTGTATCCGTAACATTTCGAGGAGCTGATCATAGCGAAAAATAAAATACTTATGCATTTCCCGCTGTGTAAACATTGCAATTAGGCTCAGGATAACTCCTGATAAAGTTGGGTAGCTGATCTTCACAGCTTTAAATAGCCAAATTGATTAGTCACAGGAATCAGGACTAATAAAGCCAATGCAATTGCCTGTTTTACAAACGGTGTGCCTAACACATGGATGAGCATTCGTAAAATTCCATTGCAGGCCGACACTGTATGCTGCACCCCAGGATGCAAGGGCCGACGTCTTTTTTTGGTCCTGTCAGGACCGGCCGTCTTTTTTGGTCCTGTCAGGACCGGCCGTCTTTTTTTGGTGCAGTCCAGAACGACCTTGATTTCCACGCCCACGGACGTTGGTTTTTGGTTCTGGACCAGCCTTGATTTGTCCCAAAACTAGACGTTTATGTTTGTTCGGATTTGGTCCGGTCTCGACTGGCCTTGATTTGGACCAAACGTAGACATCTATAAATTACGTATTTTCAACTTTCATTCAGAACCGAAATTGAACCTGATTTCAATGTCAGGAAAATACGTATTTTCACTTTTCATTCAGAACCTAAATTGAACCTAACTTCAACATCTGGAAAATAAGTATTATTTTCAACGTAATTTTGCTTACTGTGACTATTCTAGTTTTGCAGGGGGCTGCAATATTTGTGTTTTGCCTAGGGCGGCAGAACAGCCAGGACCTGGCCACAACACAAAAAAGGAACATGTGTAACTATGCATTTTTGTCAGACAGGACCATACAGCACTGAATGAGAGTACATTTGACTTTGAAAGCTGTTTATTGAACAGCTCCCAAAAAGTTTAGTTTACATTCATCATAAATATTCACAGTTGATGTTTCCAACTATTGTATCTGTGTGTTTACAGGTCTATATTTCCAAAATGCTTTAAGAAATCCTAATGCTGTTTGTGTATTTAGGGCAGAGAATTGACTACTTGTATTCCACATTTTCGCAATATCAGAGCTTGCAATATTGGGTTACATGAGCTTATGTGGCCCACCCTTCCTCCAGCCAGGCATTATTCTGCACTGTTCGAGTTAAGGGGATGTGCCACAATATTTATCAATTTAACCACTTATATAGTAAAAAAATATATATACAAGCATCCATTTCATATTTGGGAGACCTTAGAGAGATGGAAAAACATGGCTGTGCTTCGTTATATCTCAAAAACAAAAACATTGGCCACTAGCCTAATAGCTATAGAACATGCATGGGTGATAAGACAGAATAGAGGCCATAATATAGGCCATAGGTTACTCATGAAATGTAAATGCATGCATGTAAGCCTAAACAACGTGACATTGTGTTCCTCTAAGCAGAGCTTCTTTCCACTCCCTACTGTATGCGCCGTCTATATGGTTCAAGCCTGATGTCTCAGCATCTGAGTCTTTGCACACTGGATCTTGATCATTCAGTACCACGTAATAAAGCTGTCCTAGTGGATTTAGATGGCACAAGATTGAAATCGCTTTCACTGCGGTGTAGTTCTTTGGTTCCATGAAAATAACCAAAATGTTACCAGATGATTGTTTGTGTGAGAAGGAATCTTGTTTTTCTTCTTTCCATGACAGCTGACAGACAAAGTCATCAATCGAATGAGAGAAGAACGCCAGGCCCAGAAGATCGTCCGTGCTCACTCACAGCAGAATGGACCTGCTTGTCCACATTCGACACAACCTATGGCCCCCATTACCACACCAGGCCCTACAGTCGAACATTCGGTCCCCCTTCTGGTCCCCCCTCCCCTGTTTATCCCCACCATGGAACCTGCTCCAACTACAGCCCCTCCACCTCCCCCTGTTCAGCCAGTAACCTGTACCTGTAGTCCTATGTACCCCTTCCCCTGAGGAACCTGTAGTTCTGCCGACAGTGTCTACCCATGCAGAACTGGTAGTGCTACCTCCACCCGTGGAACCCGTAGTCCCACCTACCCCTGCTCCTTCACCTGCAGAACCTATAGTGGTACCTGTAGTAGTTGAACCTATTGTCCTGCCTCCAGTCGTTGAGGAAGTATACCTGTCTCCAGTGGTTGAACCTGTAGTCCTAACAACACCAGGCTCTGTTAAGCAAGTATTCGTGCCTCCACCCATTGAACCTACAGTCCTACTTTCAGTAGTTGAAACTACAGTGGTTGAACCAGTTGTTCTTCCTACAGCCCCCCTTGTTGAACCTGTAGTCTTACCTACACCCGTAGAACCAGTAGTCGTGCCTCCACCTATAGAGCCAATAGTCATGTCTCCAGTGGTTGAATCTGTAGTCATGCCTACACCCATTGAACCTGCAACCCTACAAACACCACCCGTTGTTGAAGAGGTTTCCCTACCTACACCTCCAGCCGTAGAGCCCCTAACCGTACCTACTCCTCCTTCCCCTGCTGCTGAACCTGTTGCCCCACCTTCACCTGCCCCATTCGTAACACACATACCAGAGCTCCTTCCCCCACCAGTGCTTCCACCCCCACCAGTAACCCTACCAACACCACCTGTTGTTGAAGAGGTTGTTCTACCCACGCCTCCACCCCTAGAGCCCTTACCTGTATCTTCTCCCCCCCCCTGCTCCTGTCGCTGCTCTCCCTCCTCCTCCTCCTCCTGCAGCAGAACCTGTAGCCCCACTTCCCCCAGTCATAGCACCTATCCCAGAGATGATTGTGGAGGAGCTTCCTGCCCCACCATGTCACTCTATGGAGCGACCCTGCCTACTGCATCGGCTGCTAGTGAACCAGCTGATCTGCCTCACCCTCCCTCTGTAGAGCCCATGGCTCCCCCTCTTTCCCTCCCTTCCCGGGTAGAACCCATGGTCAGCATTCCACTACCCACTCCCGTTGAGGAAGTGGGTGTTCAAGTCGTGGCTCCTGTTGTGACCCCTGTTGTGACCCCACCACAACCTCCAGCAGGTGAGTCTGCTTTCTCTCACCCAACTTGTATTGGTTTGTATTATTGTTAGTATGTGATAATGTAGTCATAATGATGTATTCATTATTAATGGCTGCAATAAGTCAAGCATTGTTGATATTACACAAACCTAAGCTCTCACATGAAACATTTGTCTCTCTTTTAGTGATTGATGAAGAAGTGCTGAGGAGGCAGATCCAAGCAGAGCTGATGAAGGGTCTGGATGAAGAGATGAAACTGAAACAGCAGGAACTTCAGAAACAGTGAGGAGACCAACATAGGTCATAGATGGCCTGTTTCCCAAACCAGGACTAAGCCTAGCCCTGGACTAAAACACAAGCTCTTGTGTTAGTCTTGGGCTAAAAATAATTAAAAGTTATTTGTTGTCTAAGACTAGGCTCAATATGAGGTTTGCCTTTGTATACTTTTTGTCTGGTCATAACTACTGTTATAGAGTTCTTGCATTTAGTTCTCTTTCTTTTAATTCTCTTTAAAATGCTTGCGAAGGCCTTGCAAGTAAGTGTTTAGCTGTTTCCGTTAAAGGTCTTGCTGATGTTGGAAATATTTTGTGCATGTCTGCTTGTGGCAAGCTGGATTGCTCCTATTCTGTTGGCATGAAATCTTGGTGTGTCCTACAGGCAATGAGCACGGGGCACTGCTGCTCCTTACCCCCTGCCACCACTAATGAGCTAGGCTGGCCCATAAAGCTCACCAAGATTAATGGACTGGGCATTGGTCAGTCCAGAGCAGAGATGCTTCCTGAATCCTTCCTGACAGTTCCAGTCTGGCGAGTCGATCTCAGAGCTCCAAAAGGATGGGTGTGTCTGATTCAAGTCTGGCAAGTCAAGCACAGAGCCCAAAAGGATTGTTTTTTTGTTTGTTTTTTTTGCTTCCTGAATCCAGACTGGCATGTTGAGCTCAGAGCAGAGCCCATCTGTGATTGTTGTGTTTGCTTCTGGTCTGTTATGAAATGGGAGGATGCTGCATCTTGGAGGTCTTAATTTCCCCTTTGCCTGTAAAGATCATATTTCTCACCTCTCTTTCTCCTTCTTTCTTGTTCTGCTACCTTGTCTCAGTGGATGGAGCGTAAGGTAAGATAAGGGAGTGGCACTACTCCCTGCATGCCTTGAAGACTTCCTGTTCACTTCCATTTTATTTTCCGTCTATTTCATTATCGTGTTGAATTGGATTTCCATTCTCATTTTCATCTTACTCAGGCTGTCATTTAGTAGGAGTACCATTTAGTAGAATAAGAAAAAATTGCTCAGTTATATAAAGTTCTCCTATCTATGTCGTACTTAGGCCCACAAACTGGAGGAGAAAGAAAAACAGCTGAAGAAACAGGACACACTCTACAGGGAGCAGGCGGCCAAGCTGAAGGAGAGGGTGCACGACATACACACACTCTCTCGGACATACAGTACCAGTCACACCTACTCATTCCAGTGTTTTTCTTAATTTTATACTATTTTCTACATTGTAGAGTAATAGTGAAGACATCAAAACGATGAAAGAACACATATGGAATCATGTAGTAACCAAAAAAGTGTTAAACAAATCAAAATATATTTTATATTCTTCAAAGTAGCCACCCTTTGTCTTGATGACAGCTTTGCACACTCTTGGCATGTACACACACACACACACACACACACACACACACACACACACACACACACACACACACAGCCTCTGGAAGCTGTAGTTGTGCCTCCACCTGCTGAGCCTGTAGTTGTGCCTCCAGTGGTTGAATCTGTAGTCCTGCCTATACCCATTGAACCAGCAACCCTCAACAGTCCAGGAGCTGTTGTGTTGTTGATGTGCCATATGTTCCCCTCGTTAACAGAGATGTCAGTTCTTCAAAGTCACCACAGAGAACTTCAAGAAGGGCAAAGAGGACGTTCACAACACCTTCAAGTGAGTATCATCGTTACACTTGGCCGTTAGCTAATAAGGTTTTTTATTACCTTTACTATTTAACCAGGTAGGTTATTGAGAACACATTCTGTTTGACAAAAACAAGCTTTCTGTGAGCTGTCTTGACTGGGCAGAATATGGTATGGTAGGATGTCTGTTGTCTCTCTCTGAGTCTCTGTCCCTCCCTCTCCTCTTCCTCCCTCCCTCTGTTCCCAGGCGTGTTGACATCAAGCCAGTGTGTGGTGACCTGCAGAGTCGGATCCTGAAGTGCTACAGGGAGAACACAGGACAGACCCTCGCCTGCTCTGGCATCGCCAACCTCTACATGCAGTGTGTGGATAACCACAAGGTCTCACACACGTATTTCTTTCTCTCTCTTATCTCTCTCTCCCTCTCTCTCTTACACACACACAGACTGAAAGTGAAACACCCACACATGTTCTTGTGAAATTTGTAGTCAAATCAAATCAAATCAAATGTTATTGGTCACATGCGCCGAATACAACAGGTGCAGACATTACAGTGAAATGCTTACTTACAGCCCTTAACCAACAGTGCATTTATTTTAAACAAAAAAAGTAAAAATAAAACAACAACAAAAAAAGTGTTGAGAAAAAAAAGAGCAGAAGTAAAATAAAGTGACAGTAGGGAGGCTATATATACAGGGGGGTACCGTTGCAGAGTCAATGTGCGGGGGCACCGGCTAGTTGAGGTAGTTGAGGTAATATGTACATGTGGGTAGAGTTAAAGTGACTATGCATAAATACTTAACAGAGTAGCAGCAGCGTAAAAAGGATGGGTTGGGGGGGCAGTGCAAATAGTCCGGGTAGCCATGATTAGCTGTTCAGGAGTCTTATGGCTTGGGGGTAGAAGCTGTTGAGAAGTCTTTTGGACCTAGACTTGGCACTCCGGTACCGCTTGCCGTGCGGTAGCAGAGAGAACAGTCTATGACTAGGGTGGCTGGAGTCTTTGACAATTTTGAGGGCCTTCCTCTGACACCGCCTGGTATAGAGGTCCTGGATGGCAGGAAGCTTTGCCCCAGTGATGTACTGGGCCGTACGCACTACCCTCTGTAGTGCCTTGCGGTCGGAGGCCAAGCAGTTGCCATACCAGGCGGTGATGCAACCAGTCAGGATGCTCTCGATGGTGCAGCTGTATAATTTTTTGAGGATCTGAGGACCCATGCCAAATCTTTTTAGTCTCCTGAGGGGGAATAGGCTTTGTCGTGCCCTCTTCACGACTGTCTTGGTGTGTTTGGACCATGATAGTTTGTTGGTGATGTGGACACCAAGGAACTTGAAGCTCTCAACCTGTTCCACTACAGCCCCGTCGATGAGAATGGGGGCGTGCTCAGTCCTCTTTTTTTTCCTGTAGTCCACAATCATCTCCTTTGTCTTGGTCACGTTGAGGGAGAGGTTGTTGTCCTGGCACCACACGGCCAGATCTCTGACCTCCTCCCTATAGGCTGTCTCATCGTTGTCGGTGATCAGGCCTACCACTGTTGTGTCGTCGGCAAACTTAATGATGGTGTTGGAGTCGTGCCTGGCCATGCAGTCATGGGTGAACAGAGAGTACAGGAGGGGACTGAGCACGCACCCGAGGGGCCCCCGTATTGAGGATCAGTGTGGCAGATGTGTTGTTACCTACCCTTACCACCCTGGGGGCGGCCCGTCAGGAAGTCCAGGATCCAGTTGCAGAGGGAGGTGTTTAGTCCCAGGATCTGCTCAGTGTTCATGTTTTATTTTAGAGTTATTTTTATAAATATTTTCCTTCCCCTCACTCCCTCTGTTCACGCTCATCCTCCATATTTTGCACGGCCATTTTAGTCAAGCCCTTTCTCCTTCTCTTTGTTTTCAGACTAAGAGCACTGGAGGTTAGAAAAGCCAATTGCATTACTGTTAAACCAAAGGGACAGGAGCCGGGCGCCATCAGCCATCATGGCACACCAAAGCCAGTTGAACTGTACAGACACCAGGGCCACAGCAGCTGGAGACACTCATATGTTCCACCATCCCTTAATGCCATTCACGGTATCTGTATCAACTTGGCAGAGGGTCAGAGGTAGAACGAGGAGACCATGTCTTGACCCAGTCCAGGCTGTGACAGACCACTGGTACTGTTTTCGCTAGTACTGATGTCAAAAGATGTGGTAGATTGGGTCCGAAAGTGAAGGACGTGCACACCTCTGGTTCAAATTGACACTGCTCCTACCACAGGAAATGGACAGTGTTACCATGACTATACTATCGCAAGAAATTAAGCATATCTGGTGCTTCAAACACATCTCATCCCTAACTGGAAATAAACACAGCATATCATATATCCACCAATCGAAAGAATGGGATTCATGTTTTGCTGTTTACAGCAGCAAGAAACATAAGGAATGGCCGAGTTGTGAAATATTGTGCAACGTTTGTTGAGTTAATATTCACCTATGCCTTAATGTCCCATCAAAACACAAATGTTGCCAATGCAAAAAATAATGTACTGTTGATCGTTATTGTTAAATATATATATAAAGAGAGTCGCACACTCATATATATATATATATATATATAACTCCCAGTAATTTATTGGGTAAAACACCAACATTTCGGCATTACTGTGCCATAGGGCTCTGGTCAAAAGTAGTGCACTATGTAGAAAATAGGGTGCCATTTGGGACACTTCCTCATACTTGGTCACCACAGACCAAACCAAGACAAATTTGCAGTTTTCTTCAGCGTTTGATTTCTCCTTTCATCTTTCTGGATCATGGAGGGTGTGAAAGGGAGTTGTTCTGAGCTCAATAAATGGTTGTGAAACCCCTATCAGCCTTCAGATTCTAATGTATATCAGTTTAATGATAAGAATGTGAATTGGAAAGGGAATGTTCGCTTTACTTGGATAGCTCTACGTGTGGACATGCTTCCCTTCCAACAGAACATTTACACAGTGGGAGAGCATAACAAGTAAACAACATACCCAAAGAGTACTTTACCTTTAAAACTGTTATCGTTTAAACTTCATCACATCCAATGTACCTGTGTGGAAATAGATCATCTTTTGATACCTGTCACTCTGTGTATAGGCTACTGCGCCATTGGATTGGGCACCATTTTGTAATACTGCAGCCTGAGATGGGGTGACCCAGCTATACTGTGTCTGAGGTGGCATCAAAGGTCCCAGAGTGGTGTGGCATTTCAAAAAAAATCTGGGGGCCGTAGTTTTTCCTGATCTGGTAACCTAACCAAGTAAAACGCTGAACCTTACACGGTATAACGTGATTCATCTGTTGTAAGAAGGTTTAATATGGGCTATGATGGGACCAGAGTTTTTGGTTTAAAAAAAAATAATCCTGGAAAGACTCCTGGCCTTGGGGAGGATGAAAACCCTGTCAAACTACAGCAACCTTGTACTTGTTCCTATGAATTATATTTTAAAGCAGGACTAAGGGGGTTTCCTATACATAGGCACAGAGAAAGCAACATATTTTGACAATAAAACTCGCAGGGCTGAGCTTGCTTTCTGCAGGTTTGCATCGTGCAGTCATGCCCTATGCAATGAACTATATGCCTAATTAAAAATGTACTCACAGTCTATGTCAGCTTTGTGTTTATTGATTAATTCCAGTTAATCATTTTGGATTTAAAAAGTCTAGGTAGCCTAGTCAGCCCAAGTTTGAATATAAACCAAATTTGATCCCATTCACATTTCTTCACACACAAATGGGATATAAATACACAGCATTACCACTTCATTTACCCTGGCCAGGGGGAAAAGGTGCATAGTAGGCTCAGCCTGGTCTCCGACTACAAGTAGCATAGTAAATGTAAATCCGGGACACTCAAACTAGCATATGTTATGTTTGGTATGGTTACATAAGACAGATGGTTACTTAAGGCATAAACAAAAGTAGGGCGGTTGGTCGGGGTGGATGTATGTGCGTATAACATCTAGCAACCCAAAGGTTGTGAGTTCGAATCTCATCAGGGACTTTTGCATTTTAGCTAATTAGCAACTTTTCAATTACTTTTTTGCTGCTTTGTAACTACTTAGCATGTTAGCTAACCCTTTCCCCTAGTTCCTCGATCACACCGACAGCGTCATTGCATTTTGGTAGACCAGAACTATGTTCATTTCCAATGGAACGCTGCGTTTGCCTTGCAGCGTTGCATTGCAAAGGCAGTTACAGTGCGTTCTCTGTGGTGCATAGGTTGGATTTATCGAATGTATGCATCAAATTGTATGCGTGACGGCTTGACAGAAATGGTAGCAGAAGGTGAATGTTGAACTTTTGTTGCACACATATCCAGATGATGCTGCGTACCATTTTGCTCAATAACGCTGTCGGTGTGATCGAGGCATAACCCTAACCATAACTATTTTATAATGAGAACGTCTAGCAACCCAAAGGTTGTGAGTTTGAATCTCATCACAGACTTGAGCATTTTAGCTAATTAGCAACTTTCAACTACTTACTACTTTTTTGCTGCTTTGTAACTACTTAGCATGTTAGCTAACTCTTCCCCAAACCCTAACCTTTTAACCTAACTCCTAAACTTAACCCCTAGCCTAGCTAACGTTAGCCAGTGGTTAGCCACCTAGCTAGAACATAACATATAATATATTTAGCAAATGTGACATATAGTACATTTTGCAAATTTGCAACATATGGTACGTTTGCTAAGTAGTTACTACTCAATGTCTAGAAACCCAAAGGTTGCGAGTTCGAATCTCATCACGGACCATTTCAGCTAACTAGCAACTTTTCAACTTTTTTGCTGCTTTGTTAGCTAACCCTTCCCCTAACCTTAACCCTTTTAGCTAACCCTTCCTCTAACCCTAACCTTAATCATTTTAGCTAAACCTTTCCCTAATACTGAAAACCTAACCTTAACCCTATGACCTAACTCCTAAATTTAACCCTAACCCCTAGCCTAGCAAACGTTAGCCACCTAGCTAGAATTCGTAACATATCATACATTTTGCAAATTCATAACATATACTACGTTTTGCAAACTCGTAACATATTGTACATTTTGCAAATTCGTAACATATAATACGAATTGTAATTCGTAACATATCTTATGAGATGGGTGATGGACATCCACAAATTCATGCATAGCCTACCATACAAAACGTAAAATACACTACATGACCAAAGTATGTGGACACCTGCTCGTCGAACATCTCATTCCAAAATCCTGGGCATTAATATGGAGTTGGTCCCCCCTTTGCTGCTAAAACAGACTCCACTCTTCTGGGAAGGCTTTCCACTAGATGTTGGAACATTGCTGCGGGGACTTGCTTCCATTCAGCCACAAGAGCATTAGTGAGGTCGGGTACTGATGTTGGGCGATTAGGCCTGGCTCGCAGTCGACATTCCAATTCATCCCAAAGCTGTTAGATGGGGTTGAGTTCAGGGCTCTGTGCAGGCCAGTCAAGTTCTTAGACACCGATCTCGACAAACCATTTCTGTATGGAACTCGCTTTGTGCATTGTCATGCTGAAACAGGAAGGGCCTTCCCCAAACTGTTGCCACAAAGTTGGAAGCACAGAATCATCTAGAATTTAATGTTATGCTGTAGCATTAAGACTTCCCTTAAGGGGCTTAGCCCGAACCATGAAAAACTGCCCCAGACCATTATTCATCCTCCACCAAACTTTACAGTTAGCACTATGCATTGGGGCAGGTAGCGTTCTCCTGGCATCCGCCAAACCCAGATTCGCCTGTTGGACTGCCAAATGGTAAATACCGGAGGAAAGTGGGGAGTGCGCCTTGAGCTTTGTGGGTTGTGCTTTATGCCCGGACCTGGCGACCTGCGATTTCAGTTATTCTAATTGGTCAAGACACGCAAAGAGCCTGCGCGAGTTGACAAAGCATGACAAAAATCGGTCTAAAAAAAACAGCACTTTGCCCATCTTTTAAACGCTTTGCGTCGATATTTTATTAAACTAAATCATAAATTCCGCCTCGCAACACGTTTTCAGGCGGCCCTGCTGTAGCCTACCTATCTGTTGCACCTCGGATTTTTACTCTGCCACTTGGGAGGTCGCTTTAAGTTTTCAAAGAGAAGACGCGTTATCACGATGGGCACAATGACTGAATATATACGGTAAAACGTAGTGTGTCTATGCTCCTGCCTCATCCGCCTGCGGAGAGACCAGACACCTGCACCCAAGCTTCGCCCTTTGCTTTCGTTCTCGTTTAAAAGGAGCATTATGCAAGTTTGCCTTTTCTCATTTGAACCTGATGGCTGAATCTTGGTGATGTAAGTCAAATTATTACAGTTATCCAGTTGGTTTATTATTTTATGCTGAAGTGGGGTGCATGTTTTATTATAAACACGTCGTAAGTAGGCTTAAATGTTATATTCTATTGCAGCTTCGACATCCGTGTTCCAACGACATGTTTGTTTGTTTTATTAAATAATCTAGAAGAAAATTGTTGTAGACTATAGTGTGACTCGGGGAATTGACGCTGCGCCATGTTTTTCTTGCCAAGGGAGGGTGTTTTCTTCCCTTGCCACATGGCTCTGACACTTGGGCATTGCCCAACGTCCGCATTCCCCATCATGTTGCGCAGATACAAATCCAGTGCTGAAGTACTCCGAAAAACCGCGGTGAACGTTTTTATCTATACTATATATACAAAAGTATGTGGACACCCCTTCAAATTACTGGATTCGGCTATTTCAGCCACACCCGTTGCTGACAGGTGTGTAAAATCGAGCACGCAGCCATGCAATCTCCATAGACAAACAATGGCAGTAGAATGGCCTTACTGAAGAGCTCAGTGACTTTCAATGTGGCACCTTCATAAGATGCCACCTTTCCATCAAGTCAGTTTGTCAAATTTCGGCCCTGCTAGAGCTGCCCCGGTCAACTGTAAGTGCTGTTAATGTGAAGTGGAAACGTCTAGGAGCAACAACAGCTCAGCCGCAAAGTGGTAGGCCACACACGCTCACAGAACGGGACCGCCAAGTGCTGAAGCGCGCAGCACGTAAAAATCGTCTGTCCTCGGTTGCAACACTCACTACTGAGTTCTAAACTGCCTCTGGAAGCAACATCAGCACAATAACC